AATATTTGGGTAGGTTACTTTTTTGACAAATGCAGATGATCCTGTATGCCTTTAAGCCAACGTCCAATGACATAAACCTCGTTCGCCTTTTTATTATCGTCTTCGCCAATTAAAGAATAATTCCGTCTGTCCAATTATGCTTTATTATTATCGACCTTCGTGTATACAGCTTTTTCTTTTTTAAATACGTTTTCAGCCTGAAATAAGCTTTTTGGTTTTCATTGAAAAGTAATATAGTTTAAACATTACTTGATTGCCTTTTCAGCTGCATATTTTACATCGATATCGTCCGAATAATTTTGTGAAAACTCAACAAACATTTCAGACATCATTTCACAGCAATTTCAGAAAACGTTAATTTTCCGAACAAGATTTGAAAGTCTCAACATTTTCTTTGGCAGAATTTAAAACAAACCAAAAATGGGAATCGGCCGAAGTGGCAGTGGGGCGAAGTGACAATGGGGCGACGTGTCAGTCTGGCGGAGTGGTAAAGGGACGAATTGGAAATGGGGCGAAGCGGTTTTGAGGCAAAATGGAAATTGGGCGAAGTGGAAATGGGGCGAAGTAGTTTGTGGCGCATGGGGCGGAATGGAAATGGGGTATCAATATTTTATCCATCCGGCCTCATTGATACTTCAACAGTCTGTCTTACTGGCCCACGTGGGCTATAGCCCTGGTACCTCCACTCCAGAATGAGCTATGATGTTGAACCCCCTTGGGCTTCAGTTTGTGAGTGTATAAATGCTCCCGCTCTCTCGACAACCTAAATAAACCATCCACGCCGTACATCAGCGATACGTGATAGGAAACACGTACACAGTATTTTGGGACTTTCGTCATTGGGAGTTTGTCATTTTTGTCGAGCTGTTCTTGAGAAAACATCATAATGCCGGAGCTACACAGTGTGGCGGTATGTGATTCATTGTTTTTCCTTAAAAAAAAACACCCCAAAATGTACCAATAACCGGGCCCATTTTGGCACTACTTTACTGCTCAAGGCAAATTTGGTACTCTACTTGTTTCAAGTGAACGATAGAGAGAAGTTTTCATTCCATTGCATAACATCGAGTCACTTGGTAATGGACTGTGACGCACCACTTGGGTGGCCAGGGTTCGATTCCAACTATTGACCATCATGATGCATTATTTTGGTCGATGGGGTAAGTTTGACTGATTTCATCGTTGGCCAGGGTTCGATTCCAACTATTGACAATCCTAATGCCTTATTTTGGTCGATGGGGGTAAGCTTGACTGATTTCCTCGTTGAAAGTATCTCCGAATCTATCATCTCATTCTGAGGCAATTGGGCCCTTGGAAGATATAACGGTTTAGTCATGGTTTACAGTAAAATTTTAGATTCCAAGATCGAATTTAAACTGTTTCGCTAATCGTATTGTTCCTAAAGTACGAATGATACAGCTAATGATTAATTAGTGACCCAAACCACGCATGGAAGAAAGTTTGGTGAAATCACAGAAGGGTGAAATCTTTTCTCCGAGGAATCTTGAGAAGTAGGGCGCTATTTTCAGCTCCAAAGTAGACTTTTTTTGCGCTTTGCGTTTCTTAATCTCCACTGCAAATACGATTCCTCTGTTTGTTTCATGCGAAGAACCAACACAAAAGGAGTGGACAGGACTCGTGCTGTTAACTCGGATTATGTTTGACTGGACATGGAGAGGGAGGCTCGTCCAGTCGATAGATAACAAAAGAAGGCGGTTTAAAGGCTGAACGGTGGTCTAAATTTTTAATGGCTAAGCCGCCAGTGAAGCCTGAAGAAGCCACAACAATGGCGCCTTGCAAGGTAGCCTAACCCAGATGATCATGAGACGAGCTTATAATTAAGCTGCAGATGTTGGGGCTTCTTGCAAGTGGGTGCATTTAAGGTGTTTACATTGCAACCACTTCTATAGATCCGGTGGGGGTAACAAATTATGTGTCCCACTGAGTTTGGGGGAAAGGGCCATTTTTCAGTGATTGGTTGGCATTCAACAGTTGCCTAACGAACGGTGCGTCTGATTTCTTGCTCTACACTATCACCAAAATTGTTAACAGGACGGACTAAACAACGTCAGTTTGACTCATTATTGACTGGAATTCGTAAACGTTTGTGAGTCGCACTCTTGGAGGTTGGGGGCTTTTTGAAGGATTTTTGTGAATGAGAATTAATGATACCAAACATTCTTGGAGAATTTCTGGGAAGTATAGTGAACTAGGTGAGTTTTGAAAGGGTCAATTCATTTGACAACGGTGTGCGACTTCCGATTTGTTGGACATCTTACATGCTTTCGTCGGTTGCCATTCAGAGTCTACCACATATTCCGAGTGTTTGTGACCATTCAGTGATCTTTTCATATTGTCGACAAACATCACTTCGCACCCATGCCGAACATTTTGTGTTGACATAGGCCTACTGTCAGAACCTGACTATTAATTACGGGAGTTGACGTAGGAAATTGCCCCTTGTAGAGTCGGGTCACAGTCACTTGCCGTTGAACTGTTCTTCTATGTTATACATGTAGTATGTTCCGTGTCATCTTCACTGTTTACATGGAAAATAGTCGATGTTCAGAACAGTTTTACCCGTATATATATATATGCACGGCAAAGTGGACACAAAAATGCACATTTTCCTTTACTGTGGTTTGAGTATGTGTATGGATAATGAACATCGATTGATTAGACGAAGACCTTTGTTAATAGCAGGCAGTGTTACGTATGTAAAAAAATATATATATTGCACAAGTTTTTTCCCCCCCTTTTTTTTCTCCCAGGCATCTTTGTCCGTGGACATGTGTTTTTTCCTGCCGTTTCGGTCCTCGATATTAACTTGTGATTGTAGATTAGGTTTAGATATCGCAAGGGTGAATTACCCCTTTCATATTAGCACTGTCTCTTTACCCTGACTTCTGCAGGTACCGTGACGGGGAGAGCAGAATCGGCAGATAAGGTCATGGATGAATGTGCGTCTCCAGACTTATAACGTCATGACCCATGCAGGTAAATTCGTATCTCACTTGCTACCAATTACACGTGTGATACAGGTAGTAAGTTTGCTCGAATGAGCCAATGAGTGCGCTCATTGGGACAACATTTTACCGTTATTAATTTTGCTTATCAATGATGAAAGGCACTTTATACTCCATCCAAATGGGAACGGACTGGTGGTTTTTAAATGTTATATGTTAGGCATAATTGCAGGTAATTTTCTTTCGATCTTTATAGAAGTCATGTAGTTATGGGGAGCTATCGATTGTTCGCTGTGGCGGTGAAACATGCACTTGCTATTCTTACTATTGTTGCTTTCCACTCACTTCACTCTCCAAAAACATTCGAAATATTCACTCTACACAACAAGCCAATTTTCTGCCAGGGTTGGGTTGCTGTTCTTAACAGTGAGCTGAGTTGACGGAAAGGAGTCAAGTGTTTGGGAAGCAAATTTGCTCAGTTGCTGTTTGGTGCCATCGCCCTGCCTCCAGACAATCGCGACCGGCGTTTACTCACGGATTACCTAGGACAACATTTACGCAGTAGTCGAGTGGGTTTACTTAGGCAAGTTTCGGTGGGTAAAAGCCTTCAAATGTTCCCCTGTAAATTTGGAGTGAAGTCTGCATCCTGTTATGAGAATTTATGACAAATGTTTGATGAAAGACGTGTTCAAGTTCCAAGATATCTGTAAGTATTTTATTCTGTACTTTTTAGACTATAGCTGCATTCAACTTCTCACACACAAAAATGTTGAAGCCGTTGATATGGTCCATTATTGCTTCGTGTTGGTTTTATACCAAAGGCCCTATATAGGCCTGCATACAGTAAATTGAAGCTGATCGATGCTGGCAATGGTTCCTCGTGGACTGAATGAATTCTCGCATCGGTTGTCAATCTTTCTGCAGTGGTACAAGTTTGCCGTTTAACCTTTGGCACACTGGTCAAAATGTCAGTTCAGTTCATTTTACGGACACTTGCATTTTGACTATTAAGTCCGTTGAGACCAAAACTTAGGCCTAACCTGAAGTATTACGGAATTCCATTGAGACTGAGTCACCGTGATAATAGACATTATATTCGTGTTGAAGTTTGGTGCTGTACTATGACACATGGAAAAGATGAGCTATAGTCGCGTATTATGGTGCGAAGTTAACTTGATTGAATTGTTTTTGTTTCACAGCGGTATCAAGATTTCATGTTTTTATCATTGTATCTGTTGCACAAATTGTGACTGAAAAACTAAAATGAAATTGCAACAGGTAAGGTTGTTAAATAATTGTCCGACATTTGGTCCCGGCTACAACGAAATCGGCATTACTAAGCCGCATGTCTTAGTTCAACACATGTCCCTCTTTTTTGGATGGTGTATTTGAAATTCTAGATTGTCAAAAAATCCCACTGACATGACATCTGAAATTGACGGAGTTCCCTGAGGTAATGTTAGGCCTAGTAATTTGGCTTGTACCCTTGATCCTGACCGACGTGTGACGAATATGTGTTTATTCGGGAGAGAGTTCAGTGTTGAATGAAGATTCCCAGTCAAGTTGGCGTAGCTGGACTTACCACGAAGCGATTTTACTTGGTCTGTCAGTAAATTTTTGAGGAAAAACAATCGGTTATTTTCTTTTACTTGGTAATATAATAGGCGATTTCGTCGATTGTCATTCAAAGAATTGTTTTTAAGTACATCTTTGAGAAATTATTGAACTAAATCTACACTGGCAAAAATGCAGTCAACAATTCTAGAGACCTTCAAAAGTTGACCATCTTTTAGGTTTACGAAAGAACAAATTTCCCAGACGTAAGCCTATTATTAGCCGGCCTTGTCGAGAAAATATGTTTCTTAATTCGGACTTACAAGACACAGAGTTCAGTGTGATTTTTCAGTGTGCCTTCATCAACAACACAACACCAAGAATGTTAATAACCATAAAATAAACTCAAGGATAGCAATAAGTGATGGTAGACAAATGTTTTGATCAGTGAAGGACGCATGGTGACCTATTCTGGTTATGAAAAACTGGCCATTTTGTTGGGCAGAACCCTGTGCATGTAGCTCTGCAGTGTCCCGCGTTTTGAAGCTTGCGACCGCCGTACGAGGAGAACAAGATTCCCCTTCACATCGGGCAAAAGTCGAGAACAGTTTCTGTTGTTATATAGACGTAAGAGGCTTTTCACCTTCGCTACCAATTAATTGACTGTTTGTCAACTATTCGCCAATTCTATTTCACGAGTGAGAGGGCAAGCCCAAAGCACGAAGCCGATTGCGAATAATGGCCCATTCAGACCGGATTGTTGGTGCACCCAGGTGAGTGCAGTATACGGGATGACAATCGGAACATCGTGGGGTGGCGTTAATACGACCAGTACACAGTAGGGGAGCTTGTAAATGCGACAATTTGTGGTGTACCACAATTCCTATGTTCCGTAATACTGTACAATGTTATTTGTTTGTGTTGACTGTGAACGGAATGACTTATGTTTGATCGGAGAAACTGTCGTTTTCATGTGTTGGAATTCCATCAACATTATGGTAAGTTTGAACCTTAATACAAAAAGTGTTATGGTTTGAATTACAAATGGCAAAGACTATCTTGATAAGTTCGCTATTCGATTTCAGGTGTACAGTAAGACGTATTACAGATATAAACATTCAGATGAAATAAACTCTTCGAACCAAAAATGTTTATTTTAGTTCAACATATAAGTCAACGCGCTTGTTACTTTACGACAACAGCTGATAGAATGATCGAGAAAAGGTAGTGTTACAATTTGGATTATTTCCTCCAAAGACAAGTCCAATGGAAGACGAGGACAGACTGTCTAATGTTCTCATTTGCATCCTAACAATATTCATCTTGATATTTTGGCCTATAGGTGTAATTGTTTTGGGGTAGTTTTACTCGATAGAATGAAAAATGGAGCGTATTTACCAAGGTCATTTTTGGCAAAGTTTGCTAAATGGCGATTGGTGGGCTTTCACCTTCACATTGCAGAGATACGACTTTTTAGCACCCTTAGCTGGCACACAATAGTTAACGAGTTTCTGATAAAAACCAATTAATTTCTACCCACCGGTACAACGTGTTATTTTTTCTCGGAAATCTTAGGATTATTTGAGGGCGGATCAGGCCAAACCTTCACACAACTTTAGCGATCGATGGTGATAATGGTAGCGGGTTAGTACGGAATTACAAAGGCAATGGGATGAGCTTTTGTTTGGGAGTATGGTGGAGGTTGGATCTGATGAATAAGACTCATTACCGGTTATGTAACGCTGTGGTTATCCTGGTTAGAATACGGGTATAGTCACGGTAGTTCGATATTGCATCAAGTACCATGTCACTCCATATCGCGGTGCACCCTGCCAAACGAGGGCCGAGCTTGGTTGATTTCTCGGGATTTTGTGAAGGTAATGTTATGTTAGTGTTGTTAAATTCTTTACCATTTCGCGCACAAAGGCAGCGGTACTGACTCAATATCATGGTTGCTCGATATTTTTGCCAATCTCTGACCGACGTATGTCTTCTCACAACACAAGAGTAATATCGGAACCCGACTGGGACCTTGAGTTCAAAACATGCTAAACAAAAATCAGGCCAACTATACTAATTTCAAGCCATGGAGGAATAAAACAGGCTAAATATTCTCCAAAGTTGTCATGAAAAAAAGACAAGGTCCTCAGTATTTCACCAGCCCAATTAGGTCTCAATTCAGTTTTGTTTAATTAAAGGAGACTTTTCTTCAGCATGCATGTTGCACATTAGCCCCATAAATGTGGCCAATTTACTGGATTTCCTCCGTAAATAAAGGCCACACTTCCACCATGTACAAAAACATGTCGAACTTTGTCAAATTTTGATTTTCAAATTTAGGCTTAGTTTGTAGTTTATTTTTGCTTTAGAAGCATACTCGCCCTCTTTATAGGCTAATCAGAAAGTGCTGCCTTTTTCAAATGTCTAATTTTTGTGAAATTTCATGTTGAAATTTGGATACGCAAACGTGTGCAAACGAATCTGGAAATTTCACGAAAAAAAAGACATCTGAAAAAGGCAGCACTTTCTGATTAGCCTATAAAGAGGGTGAGTTTGCTTCTAAAGCAAAAATGAACTACAAACTAAGCCTAAATGTGAAAATCAAAATTTGACAAAGTTCGACATGTTTTTGCACATGGTGGAAGTGTGGCCTTTATTTACGGAGGTAATCCAGTAAATTGGCCACATTTATGGGGCTAATGTGCACATGAGAGTAATTTAACTTTGAAGCCTACGACTATTGTGTTACATGTCCAACTTATTGAAAAGATCGATCCTTCAGCAGTCTGGTGACATGACTATGGACATGTGTAGAAATAGAGTTGGGTATATTTATGAGAACTTTCTTTTGACACAGTAGATTACTAGTGGGTGTTTGGCTGATTGTTTCATGTGCCAGTCTAATTTCTTGTATTGCATGTTTTACTATCTCAGCACTCTCACACACAAAGTACTCTGAAAAATTGCCTGGGTTAATTATACCAGAAAGGGTGAAAACTGGAACTAGCCAAACTTGTGTTGTTCTATAACCAATTGTTTCGGTTATAATTTCTGTTAAATTCAACCAAAAGTTGTAGTCAGACAAGACCAAATTAAATTTGGTCTTGAATGACCACAAGTTTTGGTTGAACTAAGCAGAAATTCTAACCCAAACAATTGGTTATAGAACAACCCAAGTTTGGGTAGTTCCAGTTTTCACCCTTTCTTTGGTAAAATTAACCCAGGCAATTTTTTAGTGTATTGACAGTCCCAAACTTTTCGGACGCTGTACAATAATTGACGAAAAAGTGCGGATAACTGCACCGCAGCGCCAGTGAATATGCATAAATATCTGCTACACAATCTGAACTATAAGGGCCTCCCTTTGTGGTCACCATCTCAAACATCATTAAACCATTCTGGTTTTGACCATTTATCCCATATGTTTTGGTTCATTATTTGCGGCCGTGCAATAACTCGGGCACATATTTCTCATTTAGGATTGCAGTTTTGTGAGAAAAAAACATACAAGTTAAAAATCTAATTTGATGAAAAGTACGGGGAGAGTAAATTTTAATAGGAAAGTTGTTAATTGTAAATTTCAATTTCTTGTAATAACTGTCTGCTTCTTTTTTTTAATGATGTTAGCATATTTCTATACCTGCATTACCGCCGGCTTATGTTTTATTTTGTTTTCAAGGATATTTCTGCCATTTTAAGGGGTAACAACTTATATACCTCTTTGGAAAACGCTTTGGGTTTTGTGTGATTAAGTTTTATTACACCTAGTTGTATTATATCACTGAAAGAAACTTACTCGCATCATAATAATAATAATAATATTCTCTGATCAAGGGCATTACGACGATCACAGAGTACAAGTGTTAATGATGAATCCGGCTCCGTGCTATTTAGTGGCAATTCTGTTTCCATTTTCACGTCGTTAATCTTTGTAACCTCGAGACCACACAATATTCCGTGCCAAACAAGAGCGTTTATTGTCAAAATGAAAATGGAATCTTGCCAGAGTTGACGTGGACAACCTTGCTTTGAAAGCTAAACGATGGCCACACGAGATACATGTAGACAGATAATTATAAGGCGTACACAGAGTATTATGACAGATATTAATTTGGTGCCCGATTTCTGTTTTTGTGTTTGGTTGACCTCTTCTCCGTGTTTCTGACGATTAATCGTTGATATTGTGAGAGTTGAAAATGCTTCATCTAGCCATAATATCGTTGGATGAAATGGCCTACAAAGCCTGACATTATACTGACACTCGTCATGATGCCTATATGGAAACAGTTTACTTCGTATGACCTCCACAAACTCTGCAGAATGCCATGGTTTTGCGTGTATCTCATTTTCTCAGTTAAAGACATATAGGATCATTTTCATTGGCCCAAAAGTAACCTACCGAATTGTTTTCAGTAGCTTTCTTGGATCAATGATCGTAGTGATACTAAACACCCCATGAAATTAGTCCGTCTGGTTTGCTGTCATTTAGAAGAAATCAAGAAATGTAGGTGATTTCCAACGATAGACTGGTTTTTGGAATGAAGAGTAGTACTTTCTATTGACAACAATCAAGTTTCGTGATCAGAAGGTTGTGCAATGGCCATGTATTTTTTTCCCACAGTTTTCTAGAAAATTGTAATATCGACTAAGAGCTAAAATTTCAACTTTTTTTAGCGGTCTTCTTTGTATTTTGAGTGGTGCCTTTATTAGAAACGAAGAAACTTCATGAAATGCACATGATGCCTTTAATCTGTGATAAGTGGTATACTGCCGAACGATTACCCTCCAAAATTCACAAGCTGATTTCAATTGATGCCTCATTAACTGCAGGATTCTAAGTTGGGAAGAGATCTGATTTGACCTGGACGGCCAGGTACAGCCACATGGCGTGGTCCGGCGACGGCAGCGATTATGACGAGGGCGAAGACGGGGAAGAGACAGGGACAGACATCGAAGATCTCCCGGATGAAGAACTCATCGTCGTCCTTCGAGACGAACAGGTATACTTGTCCACAACTTTCACTTTAATTCTTTCCTTCTAGTAATGAAAAAAAAGAAGAAAAGAAATAATAGTCTTCAAAATGCACAAGCCGGAAGAAGCTTAAAGGTCGAAGACAATATGATGAAGTGTTCAGTTTTATAGGCGTGAGGAAAACACCGGAAGGGTATTATTAAAGGGAAAACCTCAGGAATCCGGTTGGAACGGACTACCCAAGCCACATGTCGGCCCGGACGCAGTTACATGTATACTTCTGGTAATGCGGCAGTTGGTAACGAAATGGTTCTCAAAATAAAGTTTCCCCCCTCCCCCACCTATTAATTTATATTCTCCTGAGCCATGAATCAGCAAAAAAAGGTGAATTTATTTCATCAATCAGCATGACTTGATCAAATACAATCCAGGAAAGAACATTCATTCACTTTTGGGGTAAAAAATAACTAACTAGCCTGCAGGAGACAAATTTGCGGCCTGGATGGAACTCTAAGCTAACCCGGTTCACAGAGGATGATGAAGAAAGCACCACCGCGCCAACGTACGTCCTTTATTGCTCCTTTTCCAGGAATTTGTCCAAGTAGACATTTCTCAATTGAAAGGATACTCTTCACTGGTAGTTACGTGGGAAATCACTTGTCCTAGAGTATGGAGCCTCAGCCTATACCTGAGGTCCTTATACCTCATTAGCTCCTTTTTATAACCAGGCAGACCGCCTTTATTCCTGCATCCTTCAAAACATCTCAAACAGTCCACGTCCCTATCCGTAATTGCGCCATCTTTCTCTATGTCATTTCTGAAGCACTGGGTAAACAGATTATCAATCAAATTTAATCCTGGTTTCTTTCAGTTCTTTTGTTGTAATCATTGTCAGCGTGGGTCTGTGAGGTCTAAAGCGTGAGTTAGGTTCTGTCAGTTAATGGCACGAAGGAGCTCCTAACAATGGCCCTTCCCTTGTATCCATTTTCTCCGTTTTGACAAAGAGCACCAAAATGCCTGAATGGGAAGAGTAAATAGCTCGGGGCATCTGGCATGGTGTAACGCAAATTACGGCACCCGGCCCTTAGTGCTGTGATCCAAACCAAATGAGACATAATCTGAGCTGATTTCCATCCAGTTAAATGCATGATTGGTGTAGAGTTAGACATGCATGTTTGACTAGAGGTCTGAAGTATAAGCAGAGGTGACTTGCTGCTTTTTTGAATTAGAAAAAGTACTCGTTTTAAAATGAATGCTCCCTTATAAATATAAGGTTGGCGCAGTGGTTACTGTCCTTGCCTTCCACCGCTGTGGCCCAGGTTTGATTTCTGCCCTGGTCCACATGTGGATTGGATTCAGGCCCTTCGTGATTTATTCCGTCAGTTTTTCCCAAGAATATTCTTCTGGCGTTTTCCTCCCACCTCTAAAACTGCAATTTCTTCTCACTGTCTTCTTCTTACAGGATTTTTTTTTCAGGCTTGTAAGCTACTGTGTCTATGGCACTTCTGAGGAATCCTTGGTTTCATTACCAGAAGGATATAATAAAAAATAACAAAAATACAATCAGCATTCGAACATCAAAAGAGACGTTCGATTTTGTTATTTGGGCATTCTTTTGATAAATACGTTCATTCAAATCCAAATACATGTACAAATGTGGTCCGTTTCGTTCATATCCAAATTCATCAATACCTCTAGAAAGAGGTTGATCTTATAAAGTTTATAAAACAACTATAAACTTTACAAAACTGCTGAACAAGACTTAGTGCTCGACGCAATGAAGTAACAGTCTTTTAAAATTGTTCAAAGCATGAGTTCTTGAATTTTTTAAAGGCGCAAATTCAATCCTTGTATCAACCTTTCGAAAACCTGTTTCAACCAGATTAATGGTGAAATCTTACCACTTTTTAGTCTAATTTGTAATTGGATGAACAACAAAGTCATTTGTACCTCTTTTGAGTAGCCGGCGTACAGCCACAATTAAGACACATTTTCCCATGTTTCTTGATTTACTTCTTTGGTAGTCAAAATCCACTTTTTTTTCGTGCATTTGATTTTTTACAACTCCACTTTGTCTTTCTCCCTCCAGAACAGCATCAAGGAGGCGCAGCGTCTCATCCACAAGGAGATCAAGTCAATCCGTCGAGAGCTGAAGAGACTTTTAAGACAATACGCTGCTACTCACACCGACCAGCAGGGCTCAGATGAGCTTCCCCACCAACGCAGGTCTATAGACTCAGGGCTCAGTGATGTGAACTACACGACAGACTATACCACAGCCAGTGAGTTGGCCTCATCTCACGGGGACAGTGAAGCAGGATACCAGGCTTTCTTGGAGTATGATACAGATGGGTCTACCGGGCATCTAAAAGGAGATGGGAGGTACCGGCAGCAGTCTTTGGAGGTTTACGAATCGGGCTCTGGGTATGAGGATGATGCACCGATGGGGTACCCTCCCCCAAATTATATGGTACCAGAGGGAGCAGGAGCCAGCTTGGAGCAGCAGAGCGGAACTGAAAATGGTTTCAGACCAGGATGTGGGATGCCCCCTCATTGGAACAGCAGTGAAATGAATCAAGCTATGGATGACCACACTCGGGGGAGGAACTCCACTTATGAGGATGCTTACAGTATGGTGAGAAGGCGGCATAGTGGAGATACACCAACCAGGAACAGTAAGTCTAAAAGCTCTGGGAACAGGTGGAAATCAATCATCCACAAGCATGGCAAGAGTATCTACTCCATCCCTGAATCAGATCAGAGTCATCTGGTGATGAGAGAGGACTCTCGTTTGCATTCAAAAGGGAATGAATCAATGCAGAGCTCAGAAGATGAGATGAGAAATTTCCAAGACTTTTCGGATAGTAGTGTAAACAATGGTGCTGAGCAGCCAAGAAGATACGGATCACAAAGCATAAATTCAGGTCATATTACCAGGAAGTTTAAGAGGAGCCAGTCAGCACAGCAGATTGATGTCAGGAAGTTAACAATATCCGGATCGAGTACTCCTGAACCAAACAGGGAAACGAGCTCCCCTCGGCCTAACATGCCCGTGTTAAGAAAGACCCAATCTTCACAGTTTCTCTTGAGACCCAACAGCATGAATGGAGTGCCTTCTGATAGACCGCCGTCAGTAGCCAGTGACACTTCAGAAAAGAACGGACCAATCCGGGGTCAGTGGAACGGAAACTCAAGAACACCTGCAATGAGCTCAGAAGATGAGGCTAGGGATTCGCCTCGATTCTCAGACAGTAGCTATGACTCTTACATAGACACCAAATATTCCAGTCGGCCCTCACGTTCTTCACCAGGACTATCTATGCAGAAAGACCATTCCAAACACCATCAGCAGCAAGGCAGAATGAACTCACCCAGACTTAAGAAAACCCCATCTTCCCCAAACTTCTTTTCCAATACAGGCTCCAGAAATCCCAACTCCCACGCAAGACAATCGTACTCTGTTAGTGATAAACGTCACAGAAATGCTGTCAAAGATGAAAATTGGAACGAAGGACTATTACTTGAATCTCAGTCAGACTTTTTGTATCATAGCAGCGAGGAAGCCTACAGGGAATCCTATGCCGACTACAAAGGCCAGAAGTATCCTCACAGAAATAATCAACCAAAGCGGCGAGATAAGTTCTTGAGAGACATGGGTAAAAGTTCAACTCATCCTTTGATGAAAGTATAGTGACTTGTTCATTGATAATTCCAATGTAGATAGTTGGAGACATCAGGGTTGAGACATCATCAAGTAGTTAGTGCAAATCAGAGAAAGGAGAGAGTATTAAAGAAAATTGACTTGGAGCACATTTAAGCCTACAATGCTTAGAATTCCATGTTGGCCCTCAGCAAGTGTTGCACTCAAGTCAATCACAAGTCCATCACAAGTCTTCTAAAACATCCAGTCCTGAGGTACCAATGTAAATGAACTGTGACAGCAGCATTCCTTTCTTACTGTTCATCCCGATACTTGACTTGTGAATTGGCTCTTTGATTTATTACGTTAAGGAGAATACACGAGAAAGTGTGGATTCGTAATTTAAGAATTAACGAGGCGTGTATAGGCTCCTTACGTCAAAATGGATAGTTCAGACGACGATTTCTTTCTGACTAAAAGTAGATTTTGCAGTGACGGCGAAGAATCTGACAGTGAAGATTCATTGGTAATTTTCGGAAAGCAAACGTTGACGCAGACGGTCCTATTCATGCTCATTATGGAGAATAATAGTCCGACGTTTTCAACGTGTGGATTCGTAATTCCGAATCCACACTTTACTAAAGATTCGTCGTTCCGAATCCACACTTTGTGCGCAGTGTAAGAGATTCGTAGATCCGAATCCACACTTTTAACAATAGTGTGATGTCATAGGAATGGTTTACTCATCACTTATACTTGCGATGGACGTGACAACACTGCCCTCAAGTGGACTACACATACAGGAACCTACCCCTCTTTAGCATTGAACATCTTTTGTAGAACAGATTTCTGTTCTGAGAAGTGACATTTGAATTACATTGCAATATCTCAAGCTGTGATGGATATTTTCTAGAATTGTTCATTACTGCTGCAGATTAAACAGAAACTGATATATCCTGAATTTTAACAGTACTGGCATTAAATAAATAGACCCAATCTCAGAAATGTAATTCTAAGATTTATCAAAACTTTTAATGCTTTCAGTTCTTGTCTCTACAAGTACATGTTTACATGTGTTATACTTTTAACTAAAAACAATGAACACATTTTTTTTCTTCGAAAGAGCAACAAATGTACGTGTATTCTGAAACATATCAATGCATTAACAGTCTGCAGGCAAATTTTCAGAGAATCCAATTTTTTTTTACATCAATGTCTATTAAAATATTGAGTTTTGACCTTCACTAGTTTAATAATATAGGGCAAACCCAACGTTCAAATCAACAGAACCCAGATGCAAATTTCAATTGACGTCAATCTCAAGTTTAATTTACTCCAGGAGGATACTTCAAAGTTTATTTTAAAAAAATCAGGTTTCTGGAAAATCAAAGTTAATGATTGTTTCAATCACAAGTTTGCCAAATAAATAAGATATATATTACAGTAATGTGTCTCATTGGTATGGTGTAAGATAAATTGTTTGTAATATCCTACATAGAGCTGTATTGAATTCCTTGAGTGCCGACTTCTACTACAGGCATCCAGTTTGATAGTAATGCAGAAAGTACAGTCGACTCTTGTTAATACAAACTCGTTCGTACCTAGCCAAATTGTTTGTTATATCAGAATTTTGTATTAAGAGGAACGTCAGTTCCATTCATTGTGCACATAAATACACAGTTGGGACCAAGGCTCTATGTTTGCTATGACCAGAAATTGTATTAACAGTGTTTGTACTAACGAGAGTCAACTGTAAATGGAAACTGAGTGCTGCATGGAACCTTACTTTTCTTTTGTCCACCTGCACTTTTATCAAACTGGATCAAGTACTGCAATTATGCCTCTAGGTTAATAAATGAAGCTCTATGGATGCCTAGAACCTTTCCATAAGACATTAATTATGAATGGTGCGGTTACAAATTCAAAGGCCTTTGCCTGTTTCACCAGTTTACTGCAATGAGAACAAATCATCCAAAATATTCTTAACTTACTGTAACTTACTTTGATAGTTCGGTTACAAGATTGGAATAATCACCCAGACTCCTGTTTTTCATTTTTTGTGAGGGAAATTAAATAGCTGGGGTTTTTTTTACCTGTAGAATACTTTCTTTAAGCAAACACTTACTAGAGTGTACAGAACATGAACTTACACAAGCAATACACCCACATGCCGGTCAGCTTTCCTAAAAGGAATTAAATTAACGACCCTTAGTTTCCTTGGAATTTTCATCATAAGTTTTCCTTAATCTACTTCAATAAAACACTGTGCAGTAAACCAATGGCACATTCTTTCTACAAATTAATAGATGACCGAGCTAAAGTAAAGTAAAAGTGGCTAGGGTCTATGAACCTGACTCCATCAAAATCCTGCAAAACCTTGAAGTGGAATTTCATGGAATCAGAGTAGGAAGGGTAAAAATATGTATAAATAAGCCAAAGAAACAGGTGCAATCCTAGATTTTAAATGGACTTCACTGATTTTTATGGAAGGTGGCAAACGCCTCAGAACATGGGCCAATTTCATGGCGCTGCTGAGCACACAATTTTTCTGTGAACAGAGCCTCCGTCTATTTCATGGAGGCAGTAAGCACTGCAAAAGTCACACTCAAGTTTACGATAGAAGTTTCCATGTGCACACAATTGTTGGCACATCCATGCCATCAAAAAGTGCTTAAGGTTAGCACAATTTCCTGCTATAATTTAAAGCCCAACTTTTTTGCTAATTGTTAAGCAGCGCCCTGAAATTGGACCCTGCTCTTAAGCGGTTTCCATAAAATGCCAAAATGAAGTCAACAATAGTCGAAACGTTCGATCAATCTACAGCTCCCAAGCCCTTCCCTCAGGTAATAGGGACATCCTTTTAGGACTACATTTGTACAACTTCACAAAAATGAAACATCTCTTGTTCTCGATCTCCCTGTATCACCATTGTGTGCTATACCTCCGGTCCTTCACTTCCAGGAATGAGCTGCAAGATGGAAAAGATAGGGGATAGCAATCATATCAAAATACCCTCCATCCTGCAATATCCTTCAAAACCTTAGGGTGAGAAAGTACCTATAATGACATTTCTTGATGACAGCAGTGTGCAAACCCTTATAAAAATCTTTCTAGCACCTCCATTTGAAGTTGTCAACCATCTCCCACAGTGCACTGGAGAAAAAGAACTCTCCGTGGCAAACTCTTGGTGGCGCACTGCATTGTGAATCACCCGAATTGGCATAGATTTTACAAAAATGTACTTAAATACATGAAAAGTTCAATGTTAGAAGTGTTTATTACAGACGAGGCTGCAAGATCAAGTGATGCAATCAGAACGACTTCAACATCTAGTCAATGGAATATGAATACATTATGTTTGCCCGCTTTCAACCAAAATCTATTTAGGACCAGAGATGCTCGTAACACTTTTTGATTCTTCGCAACTCTGAAACACAGTCTGAAATGAGTGTACTGTACAAGAACTTCGGTCAAGAAAAAAAATCTTGATTGTTGCCTACCATCGTGATGTTGTTTCCATTCAGCAAAATCTGGTCCAGTTTGGTGACTCTTCGACCCTCCGCTGTTAATTCACTGGAAAAAAAATATCATAGTGTATGTTAAGAACATCTTTAATTAATGTTGATAAAATGTAGGGGAGGGGCCGGGTGGGGGAAAATCAGGGACTTCTCAAATGTAATCAACCTATGCATCGACAAATGCAGTCGATATTACAGGGGCTGATAGTATGGGACAGGCATAGCATGATCAGTCTTACTCAAAATGGAAACACGACACGTATCTTGAGGTTTGTATTTTTTACAAGGGCACACAATGAGAAATAACAAACTCAAACTTTGCAATATTGTGATTTGCTACCCATATGATAGTCTATTCGGGCACATGATATACCAACATTCATACTCATGAAAAAACAATTCTGGACACAAACTTGAAAGTTGAAACGGAAATGTATTACTTATAGAATACTTACAACTCAACAACATCTTCCAATACCATGTCTGAATTATCACAAGTTAAAGAACTTTAACAGTACTGAAATGCTTCATTGCCCACATGCCCACTGCACGAGCATTTTGTGAAGCTCAGAAAGTTCCAACTATAGTTGGGATGATAATGGATGATAATCCTATTTTGGGGATAACAGGGCTTTTGTATTTGTTGGACATTGTAGTAGGAATATTGTTGAGGTCCTACTAGTGACTGATAATGTCCAAATGTAAAAAAAAAATGATGTTACTTGGACTAATGAATAGATTAAAATGTTGTGCTCTTGTCATTAACTTTTGTAACTTGAAAAGGATACTGACAAAGTCATCAAATCCAAGCAGGGTACCAACGATTTCCTTGTCACTCTTCATGACGATGTGAATACGGGATCCGATGCATTTATCCACAAGCTCTACGGAACAAAAGTGATATTGTTATTTGAACTAGCACAAGGACATTGCTTTACGTTTAGGTCCTACATATGTACCCAAGTTAAGTCAACATAAAGCCTGTAAAAGATAGACACATTGTGTACTTTAAGACCCCATTCCAATAGAAAAAAGAATCCATTGTTTTATGTAAATCCACATACTCATAGAAAAGGGGATGGACTTTTCCCCCCAAGATGGTGGATTTTCCCGGTTACATGCACTTTTGACCAAAACTGAATGACAGGCAACAGCCGTACAGATGCACATCGTCAAAATTTGATGCAAGCTAGTGAGGGCGCGATTTATCACAACCCATGACGTCATGCAACACGACGCTTTCGTGAACAATGGCTGTAAAAGTCGTCCGAATTCAACTCGAAATTACAAGATAACTAGACCTCTGAAGGTGCCGAATTTAACGTTTTGTTGTAGCAGTTGAAGACGGCATTGTGTGAGTATAAAGTGACAAAATAATTGCGATTTTGAATGGATTTTCGGCTCCCTTAGCAACGGACTCTCCGTCGCGTCCAAATACTACATGTGGATTTGTGACTGATATACGGAGGTAGTCCAGTATTTCAGTCACATTTATGGGACTAGTAATATATATAGCCACGTTCACGGGTCTACTGTTAACCTAGTCTGCTACAATTTAACTGCGAGATTCATTACCATTTCTAAATTCTAGATTTCTAAATTTCTAGGCCTACCTATCCTTAGTGAGGGCACCCAACTATGCAGCATTGGCCTCTTTTCACTTTCAATTCATTTTTGTTAGATAGTGGATATTTTGCCGGAGGTAATAGCATGTTTGATGTAGTGGTTAAGAAAACGCTCTAGTGAGCGGGATGACTCGGGTTTGATCCCGACCCCCGCCACATTTAAAAAAAAAAATTTCCCATCCCCAAATAAATAAGAATATTCTTCTTTTATTATTTTAACATGTCTCAAACATTTTATTGCAGAGTATTACATTTTCTTTTTCAGATTTGTGGCTCTGGAGGATTTTTTGTAAAAGGGAAATAAAGTCCGAAATTATAATTGTTCTGAATCCCATCTTGTGAATACGAGGTTACAACGATAATATTGGCATGGAGCCAGACTAAAATTTGTCACCGGAAAATGTTTTAAGTACAAAAAAACAGTAACTGCGCATGTTCAGTGCATATCCGGCAAACTAACGTTTACGGTTAGCTCTACTGAGTGGAGCGTTGAATTACGGGTACCCCTCCATACAAACGCTCCACCGATTTGCCATACTTTGGTAGCACTTACACGGTCGTCATGACGGTATGCATTTTGTGCATGCCCTCGCGAGGACAAGGCCCAAAAAAACTGATAAAGAAAATACAAATGAGGAAGACAGTAACCCTGGATAGATCCACACATTCATGACATTCCATATGACCCCTCAAATTGTTTCAAACAACCGGTAATTTTGAAAAAAGAACAAAATAGTCTGAACTTACCGCTCACAATTAAATGTGTCTGCCGAGTTGCACAGTCTATTTCACTGACATGACTGATGCATAATTCATTGCGCGCGTGTGTGACGTCACTATTGAAGAAAAACAAGTCGCGCTTAATCAATAGCTGTTTCATGTAGTCATATGTGCCCCGCGCCGTCTGACTGTGGGTTTTTGGTGCGGGGCACATATCAGTACATGAAACAGTCATTGATTAAGCGCGACTTGTTTTTCTTCAATAGTGACGTCACACACGCGCGCAATGAATTATGCATCAGTCATGTCAGTGAAATAGACTGTGCAACTCGGCAGACACATTTAATTGTGAGCGGTAAGTTCAGACTATTTTGTTCTTTTTTCAAAATTACCGGTTGTTTGAAACAATTTGAGGGGTCTTATGGAATGTCATGAATGTGTGGATCTATCCAGGGTTACTGTCTTCCTCATTTGTATTTTCTTTATCAGTTTTTTGGGGCCTTGTCCTCGTGAGGGCAAAAAATGCATACCGTCATGACGACCGTGTAAGTGCTACCAAAGTATGGCAAATCGGTGGAGCGTTTGTATGGAGGGGTACCCGTAATTCAACGCTCCACTCAGTAGAGCTAGTTTACGGTAAAGGTTTGCCGTCTCCGGCAAAATATCCACTGCCTTTTTGTTAACAAAACTACCACAAAAATGAATGCTATAAAACGGCTTGATTGCGTATTTCACCAATACGTTCATTATGTAAAGTGTAAAATGCGAACAAATAACCAAATAGGCAGAAAACAATACCTAACGGTAGGAGCTGGGACGGATTTGTGTCTGTCGTGGAAGTCGCCATCTTGATTCAACTCGCTTTTCAACATCGACCACGTGGTGGCGCTATACAGTGAAAAATTGATCGCGCACCCGGCCGCGCGCTCCGCGAAAACAGGTGACTGGATGATCGGAGCGACAACCCCCCCCCCCCCCCCCCCCCCGTATCAGAGGTTGACGCCTCTTAGTATTGTGCTAGCTTGCTTTTTTTTTTAAAGAAACTGCCCCGTGACTAAATTGTGTGAAATCTAGCCGAATGTTTTTTAAGGCCTATCTTTATTAAAATCTGCTTCCCGAGCTCGTTCAAGCACGTAAAGAGATCAGTCCAGACATCGTAATTTGGCGAGAGGTCTGAGAAAAAAGTGTAGGCCTAGCCTATAGCTACTTTCATCCGAGTTACCTTGGCTATTAATACTTTGTCCTGTGGTTTGACGCCAAAAAGAGAAATTCGAAAGCATCCCACCGCTATAGTTTCCTACTTCCGTGTGTTCAAGTCACCCGTTCTAACCTATGACTGCCCGTGATTTTTCTCTTCAATGATCAAATTGGAAGTTGTGAAGTTCTCGGACTTCGAATTCTTTGGAGAAAAATGTGGAACGATGATGCTAGAGCAGGGAAGTTCCCCCAGCCCAGCCACCCCTTTTAAACGAATACGCCACTGGGGTGGGGGGGGGGGGGGGACGGGGAACATGATTGGTCAGGAAAGTTTGTGGCAAGTAGAATATACTCAACTTGCAATTTGTGTTTGTATCAAAATCACTTTCAATCAACTAATCAATCCTGGAATTTTATAATGATCGTTCGACAAATTGTTCATGAAAATAATTGGCCGATTTGAACATCGGGGAACATGATTGGTCAGGAAAGTTTGTGGCAAGTAGAATATACTCAACTTGCAATTTGTGTTTGTATCAAAATCACTTTCAATCAACTAATCAATCCTGGAATTTTATAATTATCGTTCGACAAATTGTTCATGAAAATAATTGGCCGATTTGATATAGATTTGCCCCCCCCCCCCCCGCCAAAAAAGAAATCGTCATTAGGCCCATATAACAGGAAGGTCTATTAAAAAAAAACAGTTTCATACAGCGGACACCGGTCATATTATTTAGTCGCCCAGCAAACGGACACAAACCATGAGTAAACAGACAAAAGTTGTTTGAAATATATTTTTTTTAACCATGCAAGAAGGAGACTGGTTTATTGAAATTTCTTTGTCCAGTGACACTGCAAACTGGAAAGAAACAAATCATGTCACAATATCATAATATATCCGGCCCTGAATTAATTAGCAGAGGAGGTAGATGTACTGGGAAAGGAAGAAACAAATATCGGGAATGAAACGGGGACATAGGATTTTAAAAGAGGAAAAATGACAAGGATAACACGAACGTTGTGAAAAAAAGGCAACAACGAAGATAGGTTCGGAGATAAATATTTAGAAAATTTTACTTGAATTAACACAATTTATAAGACTTAAAGATAATTGCAACTCCAGAATTAGATAAATTAGTAAGATTATATAGCAGATAATTACACGTTTCTGAGAAAGTTATAAATGCCTATAATAAATTAATTTCAGAAAAAAATAAAATAAAACTATGTTACCCCTCCTGTACATTACAAAATAAAAAGAAAAACTTTACTGACAAATTGATGAATTATTTAAAGTTACTATTCATTGATCCATTTATGTAACACGCATTCTTTATTCTAATTTATGTACACATTATTGCTACAGAAAATGTCTGGATATATTGCAGCAGTTAAAAATATCCGAGTACTATTTACAATTTAATTTTGGCTTTGGTTGAAAATACGCTGTAAACAACTATGAAAAGGATGGAACAATAATCTTCTGAAGTCAATTTTGTTCTTGAAAATATGAATTTAAGTTATAAAGTGGGTCTACAAAAGACCTTTGTCCAAGGTTTGTTATGATTGAAATCCAATGCACTGGAAGTAATTCACTTTAATTACCAATTAATAAGCATGCCTTATATAAGTAACAAATACATACAATAATAATGCTGAGAGTTGGAGTTACTTTTATTTTGTTCAAGAGAATACAATTTCAAAAATGACTATTACACATGAAGGTAGTGTAGTCGTTGATTTTTACATTTTGTGCCAACACATAAAACATTTCTTAAAAATTACAATCAGCTTTAAAATAATTAATTTCACAAGATAATCACCCTTGCTACCTCAGTCAAAAGAGTTCTTAAGGTTAAAGGGAAGATACAACATTTGCAAACATCACAAAACGAAATGATCAAATTATTACAAAATATCTCACTGGATTGTTAGGGAGTGACATTCTAATGCATCCTGTAAAATCATGACTCCTGGTGTGCTTACATTTTCAAGAAAAATGGTATTTTTCCAACGCTGGTTGGCCGACCAGCGTTGGAGAAAACTGGCTTTTTTTCAAAAGCTACTCCTAAATTTTCATAATTAGTTATTCCGCATTTTCTTTGCAATTAATTACACACCTGTGAAGGGGTACAAACCTGCTAGACTGATTCTCTAACCTTACAATTCCCCAAAGTCTATAAATTGCTCCGTTTCATCTTAAGTGGGGTCAGGGAACCAGACTACAAGAACATGATTGGTTTTCTTCGTTTTCCCAGCATCTACAAGCCCAAAACGTGAAATAAGTCATTTTAACAATATTTGCTATATTATGTTACTGATCCTACAAATTCATTTATTTCTGAAAATTGCAGCGAAAGCAACCAAATGTTGTACATTCCCTTTAAGTAACCTGACTGATTACAAGGGTAAAGTTTACTTATTAACAAGTATAAATCTTATCGTCCACTTTTTAGCAACTGATGCCCAAACCATGATACACTTCTAATGCTGCACACCACAACTACCTCTCTTATCTAGTGTTTGACTTGAAAACAGCATCTTATTCAAGTTGTGCCCAGAGGAACCAACCACAGAAGCCAAGGCCTCACAAATCAATCGCACGACATTCAGTCTCTGACCAAACCCTGAGCTAGTCCTCAGTCACTGTTTATCCCATTTCTTGTAACATTACTTGCTACCCTACTGTTCCACTTCAGTGGGCACCAAGCTTGCTCTAGGATCCCAGCCACTTGGCATCCACACAGGATGCTACTTCACACTTAATTGATTTCGCTTTTGCTACTCAAGTATTTCCTTTCTTAGAGTTTAGGCATCTCCTGAAGACGGTCAGAGCATACTGACCGGAACGTCGAGTTTATACCTCTGGTTCTTTTCAGAACCATTCTCTTAGTTGAGAAATTATTCGCACATGGTGTTTCCGCAAACCTTTCATTATTTAACATTACTTGTGATTTGGCTTGTACAGACCTTGACTTTACAACACAAAAATTCGCAGGTTGATGGAGTAACCATTTTTGCCTTCCAATGCGCAATCAACAAACCTGAGTTGATAGTGGATATCTTGTATATGAGTTGATAAGTCTCATAAAGTGATCTTGAACAGTCAACCAATACTTTTTGCAGGTCCCAGAAGGTAGGGCTGTCCATTTTAGAATAATTTAGTATTCGATTACTCGAATTGGACTGATTATTTGGATATTCGAAATTGCCAGCTGCAACTGTGGACTGCGCCAGTAAAAAAGTTGCATGAAGGGTGTGCCGGTTAAAATTTGAATGCAGCGATTGGGTGCCGGAGTGTTTTAAAGTAAGTATTTAATAACTGTAAGAGGGCTTAACCTGCTAAAAGGATGTGAACAATGAACCACTGTCGACCATTTACAAGTAACTTTATGATCATGGGCGTCGCCAGGATTTTTCCGGGGGGGGGGGGGGGCAAAGCAATTTTGCCCCCAAAATTCCTTAACTTTTTCATTATATTCTCAATTTATCATTTTTCTGAGCATGAACAGGGGAGCATTTGCCCTAACCCCCCCCCCCCATCAAATTTACACCAATATGGCTTCGCACCTCTTTTCTTTTTTTTTATTTGTTCCTTTTTTTTCCTTTTTCCAGGGGGCCTTGCCCCCCCTCGCGACGCCCATGTTTATGATAAAATAACATCACAGTCCTGTGTGTATAAGCATAGTTTTTTTGTCTTCCGAATATCCAAACCGGCAAAAAGTTATTTGAATATTCAGTTGCTGATCGAATATTTGACTATTCGGTATATCTGGGACAGCCCTACCAGAAGGCCAGCGTAGTGTTCACTTTGTACTTTATCACACTGATAGACTGACTGAGTGTCAGTTGTGACGCAGACCGCTTAAGCATCCTCTTGGCCCAAAAGTTGAAACCTTGTGAACCCTCACAGCCTAAACTCCTAGCAAACCTAGACCCTCAGACCAAATGAGTCTGGAACCAGCCTCGCTAGGCTATTTTTCTAGCACACGTCCCAAACACCTTTCTAAAATCAAAAACGTTCTTCATTATCGTTCTCAACTTGCCAGGGACTCTGTCACTGTAACAACACTATACAGAGGGTCATACCCTCTACAAATAAATAAATTAATGAATACATTAATTATTGAAATGAGGTGCAGCTTCAGACAGTGGAGGTTTTGCCCCTCGACTGGTGCCCTGCCACCGGTGTCACTGGCACGATATCATTCTGTTGGATAGAAGCAGAGGAACATGTACAACTTTTTTATTACTGATTATTTGAATAAAAGCAGACCACAGTCCATCAGATGTCATAATTATTAAATAAATCATCTGAAATTTACTTGTGAAAGTGATGTCATAACACTATTTTACTTGACGTAAGGTTTCTTTTATGAACAAAGCAAAAGACTTTATTTCACCCATGTAATTTAATCCAGCAGAATAAGAAGAAAAATGAGAAACAAAAGTTCAGGATCTACTTGCATACTTTACAATTTTAAGCTCTTGTTTGTTTGAAACAGCATTGAGAATTTAAATTTAGGGTTTTTTTTCTTTTCTTTTTAGCCTCTTTCAACCCACTGAAAAAATATCAGGAAATTGTCTTTGTCAGCTTATTATTTTCGTTAAACCTAACCCTGCTAAATGCCACAGAATGCACCAGTAGTAAAAAGTTGTTGCAAGTTGTTGCATTTAGCAGTCTCCTGATCTGCATGCATTCCATGCCTGCATTCCATTGCATTTGACAGGGTAGGTACTTGGTACCAAGGCTGGCACTACATTCTGTTGCATTTGGCAGGGTGCCTAGAGAATACCCCATGGGGTTAGGGTTAATTCAGCGAAATTGTGTGACAATTGTTACCCTACCTGTGTTTTTCTCCTCTCAATAAAATCCACCAGCCTTGATGTGTCGAGTTGCAATGTAGGTGTCTGCATAGGGGAATCCCCACTGCTCACTGACCTCAACCAGTCAATGTGCAGACAGTCTTCAGCACAAGGCCTGTCACTGTTAACAACAATGAACACCATGAAACAAATTACAAGGGAAATTGTGTAGGTAATATTTGTAATCCGTTTTCCTTTTTAAAAATTTGACTGAAGTGGGATTGGAACCTTTAATCACCAGGATATTGTACTGGAGCTTTTACCAACTGAACTATATTTCCCTAATCATTCAAACCTTGGATCTCTGGAAGACAATACTGGGGCTCTACCGACTGTGCTATCCATGATAGGGGAGACAAGCCAGGTTTTTTAAACTTGAGATTATGATGCTGTGTAGTTAACAATATGAGCTTGACAGAAGTATGCAACTTGAGTGTTGACTATCTGTTATCGTTCAGCCCAGAGGTTAAAAAGGTAATTAATGATACATGTAATAATAATAATAATAATAATAGTGGCATCTTATTAAGTGCAATAGGTCCATCACTCAGTGACGCTCATGGTGCTATACAATGAGTAATTAAACAAACTTAGAAATATATAAATGCTAAGTCCTAACACATGTACATTGCAAGGTACAAGCCGAAGAGATTAGAGTGTGAACAGGTATGTTTTGAGTTCTTGTTGGAAGGAGATCAAAGAGGGAGCTTGACGGATAGAGAGGGGTAGACTGTTCCAGAGAGTGGGGCAGTGTGAGAGAAGCTGTAGTCACCCCAAGAGTAATATTTAAAATGAAATTGTAAGGCTCACAAAAAGGTAATTGAAGCTAATAATACAGTACATTTGATGAGAACATATGTTTTGCACACCGCTTGATACTTATTAATGACTGCCATAGATAAGAATATCTTTCATGATGGATTGAACATGACAAGTGAAGAAGACCGTATGATTTTGCTGGTTCTTTGTAACTGTTACAATTGTACACTGTCTTGCTTATCGTCTGCAAAGAGAACTCTCTTGTTGAGATGACTGGTGTTCAAGGATTCCAAAAGTGAAGACAAAGATGATATCGCCATGACAACAGTCTAGGAGCCTACCTTGGATTCTCCTTGAGAAGGTTACAGATGAAGACTTTGGCTTGCCTCCCGACTGTCTTGAAGAACTCCTCGGGGAAGGAGAAATCCACCCTAGTAATGTTCTGACATGTCTCTTCAACCGTCTCATCCAGAAACGGAGAAACTCCACTCAATCTGCAAGACATTGAAAATACATCCAAGACGTTTTATCACACTTGGAAAGTGCTAAAAATTAGGAACACAACTCTATCAGATTGGAAAGCATAATGATCAAATCAATGACATGTATTCCATTTAAACTTAACCAAAAAATGATAAAATACTTACAAAACGTAGGTTAAGACACCAACACTCCTGGATGGGAGAAATAAAGAAGAAACCATCATGAAAAATAATCAGATCTTAAACTAACAACAGAGATCTACCTTGATCAATGTAACTGGAAGCACACAGGTCCACTAGGGTTCACCAAAAACTACCCAGATCAACCCACTAGGTGCACCTACATTGTGTAGATCCACATAATTACACCCATATGTACCCAGATCAACCCAGGGATCTACCAAGATGCACATAAGATCAACCAGAATCAACCTAGTTCTGGCTAATTCCACACAGATGCACCTAAATGCACCCAGATCCATCCAGATGAACCCTGATTAACTCCAGGGCCCAATTTCATAGCGCTGCTTAACAGTAAGCAAAAAAGTTGTGCTTACTATAGCAGAAAATCATGCTGCTGCTTAAGCACTTTTTCATGCTAATGGTTGCGCGCGAATGGAGATTTCTATTGCTACGTCACTGATTTAAGCAAAGTTTTCTTCTGGGGTTAAGCGTGCTTTTGCTGTGCTTACTGCTTAACGGTCCCTATGAAATAGATGGAGGCTCGGTAAGCACAAAGTCGGCTGTTAAGCAGCGCTATGAAATTGGGCCCAGATGTATCCAGCTTTACAAAAATGCAGCAAAGTGTATCACAAACAAGCATCAATTACAAAATGCTCACCAGATATCGGATTTGAGGCTGGCACATGCTCTATTGACAAGCTCCGGTGGTGAGAACTCAGGGCTACCCAGCAGGACGTGGACGTAGGGTTGATCACCGATGTAGGCTGCATCGCCAAAATCTATCAACTTGACCGTGGGAGACATGGAGGTCATATCAACCATGAAATTCTCAGGCTGTTAGTGAGAGAGAAACATGGAGATGAATGTTGGTCTATTAATGGTACAATATTGGAAACAATTTAGGTAAGAACCATGATTTCATTTGATGATGAGGAGATTTGTTGCTGATACTTGAAACAACTTAAAGAGATTCAAAAACATGAAATTTACACATCTGGTCTTCTCCCCACCACTTTTGTAAAAGACTCAACAATGTTTTGATTAGCAGACGTCCTTAAGTGCCCACTCCCCCGCCCCCAGTTGCACTTTCCACCACAAAAAGTTGTTTCATAGCCTGAGACGTACCTTAATGTCCAAGTGAGCAATGCCCCGCCCATGCAGGTAGACCAATATTTCAAGGATCTGAGCAACGTAAGCCGCGACGTGCGGCTCGGTAACTATGGGAAGACTGATGAGATGCTCCAAGAGACGACCGTTAGGAATCCTGTCACAAGAAACCAAAGAATCAGTTTTAGTGTCTTATGTTGTGAGGAGTCATCTCAGTAACCCAGATCCTTTAACAGCTGGTTTGAGAGATTTTCAATGAGATGAATTCTAAAGTGAAAGAATGTGTTAAAAAAAAATGTAATATGAAAAATCGGTATTGGGGGGGGGGGGGGGGCAGATTTTGAGTTTTGTTTATGAGGCTTGTATGATCCGATCTTATCGTAGCATTCACTTCAATAATTGTTGTACGCATATAGATCCCATGAGGAGTTTGTAACATTCAAAGCTCCTTAAATTCAGCAGAGGAAAAAAGACTAACTCAAAACAGTCTTCTGTGACATCATAACAAATCGTCTAAACATTTATAACAACTGATAAGATGAACTCACAGATCTAAAATCAAAACCAGGTGTTGATGCCTCTGGTAACAGCCGAGTAACCTGTACACAGAGGGGTGACTGAGGGATCCTAGAATAGCAACTTCATTCTCAACCAGCTCCACACTCCTCAGCTTTTTGCTGATGCACTTGGCGGCAACCTCCCTCTGGGTCTGCTTGTCATAACACATTTTCACGACTGAAAATCTTCCACTGTTTGCAATTAAAAAAAAAAAAAAAGGAGATTGTTGTTAACGTTCTTCAGTTTTGTCGGGAATGAATTTTGTGTGTGTGTGTGTGGATATGCTCACTGCTTGAAGAATAAAACAACAAAGGTTTCCTGTCATGTTGTATGAATAACATGTGGGATAATAAAACTTTTCTTACAAACAATATTAACTCAAATTTCCAAAGAAAAGGGACAATTTGCTAGCGTCTGGCTTTTCAACCAACAAAGGTACATTTGCTATTCAGTATGATAGACAGCATTTCAGTGGAAAAAACATAGCATGAAGTAACAATAATAATGAATTCTATGAAGAAAGTACAATTGCCAACAATTCTCTCTCTCGCTCTCTCTTTGAACAAATTATGATTACGTACCGTTCCAATTCTCCAATGATGTTGAATGCATTCTGGAAACCGTGCTGCCAGAGAGCTCCTGATCCATAGTCAGATTCAGTTTCTTAAAAAGAAAAAATAACAATAATTAAAAAAATTAAAAAAATTTAAGAAAGACACGTGAAGTAATACATGCACGTATAATACACATCCTCATGATTTCTTTGCAATTGACGTGTTTCATTAACTATTGGGTAAAGAAAAAGTTGTATTCAATAGTGACAAATTGGGCAACATAGGGGCAAGTTCGGGCAAGAACTTTTGTTGACCAATGGTTAACCATAGTTCGAATAAAGTTAGTCCGAACTCTGTCTAGTCGACGATGGTTGACTGCGCTAGTCGACTATTTGGAACCAGCCTACTGGGGTTGGTTGCTTCTCTGGTAACCAATAGCCACGCGCATCTATAACGTACAGCAGGGAGCCACCCAGAGGTTTTGCGATGACATTTTGACTAGCGTTTGACTAGAGACGCTCACACGTTGCTATTAGTGCGCAGGCGTAAGTTACGTCACAAATCAACCACTAATCAACTAATGGTCCTTGCCCGAACTTGCTCTAGTCTGAGTGGCTAGTTGGTTCAGTATTTTTTGTGGTCAAAGGCAGCGTGGTAGCCAGGGGGTCAGTGAGGTAGCCAGTGTCCCCCCCCCCCCCCATGTGCCCCCCCCCCCAAAAAAAAACCCCTGAAATTTGGCAGTCGTCCAGGAAGTGTCTTTTTTTAGTAATTAAACAGAAGAGGAATGTACATGACTAGTATTTTAGTCGATTCTTAATCCCTTAACCCAATGGATTTATGAAATCTGAATAATGTGACAAGAACAGAGAGCACCCTCAAGAATCAAAGGAGTAATAGGCAGCAGTCCTTCATTTAAAGAAAATCCAGGAGAGCTATAAATCGCTCTCCTCAAATATTCGAGGAGAGCAAATCGCTCTCCTTAAAATCTACGGATAAACAGCGGTAAAACGACGGGTTACCATTGTTTTTGTTTTATTTTGAATATCACGATTTATTCAAGGGGCTGCATTATTATTAGTTTTTGCATAATAACATATGCTCAAGTTGCGTTACTTTTTTCGTTTTTGTAACTGTAAGACAAGGTAAAATTTATTTAAAAAAACTAACTAAATGGAGATTAATAAAAGGTTTGACTACTGCTCAGGCTTTCATTTTTTAATACAGGTGTCAGTTGGTTCATCACTTGATTATACTTGGAAAATGGAGAGTTAATAAACGGCACATAAAGCAACTGAAAAATTGCTTTCAGATTCGTTAAAATTATATGAAATTTTCAGCCTGAACTATTTCAATTGCTCTACGAAAGCTTCACAAAAAGGGCCTCAAAATGACACAAACTTGCCTTAAGTTTTATCGAAAATATCTGCCGTCGATAATCTTAAAAATAACGGAAAATGCAGGTCAAGTATGCCATATACACAATGCCAGTCACGACGAGAAACTGGCTAACAACATCTGAACTTCGCACTAGTACGAGCGTTTGTGATGCACTGTGTGTGGTGGGCCGGCAATGAGACTCGTTTCACGGTATAGGATTTCGGTGAAACACGCTGCATCGTTTCACTTCACATACCAGTAAAACTTCCTCAAAATAAATTCATGAACACGGGAAATACATACACAGACAAGAGAGATCACGTTTTGTGAATAAGCTTGCAAAGATCGTCCTTCTCAATCGTTGTTTTCTTGGCATTTTTACGACGTCTATTCCGTCCAGCCTGCACGCAAAACACTGTACGGCAGGCAGTGCATTGCACCGCGCAGGACTATTACATTGACTGGTTACCGCATTTTCATCATGCCTTCATTGGGACTTAGTTTGCGGCGCAGCGGGAACCAGTCATTGCTGCACTTGCACGTACGGGCCCACGTGTTTTAATGCAGCTCTACGCGATATGCAGATTGTGCACGCACAGTATACAACCGCTGTACACACACGATCTTATACAGTACGTACGAGCTCGGTGTTCGTTCATTTTTAGCGATGTCCAGCGGCATATTAACGTGAGTTTGGGCATTATACCAACGAAAAATACGTGTAGCTTAAGACTTAAAATCCTTTGCGTTTTTATCACTTCTTATTTTTAAACTTCCCGTGTTTGACGAGCTCTCTTTTGGATTTCTGAGGAGCGCTATTTTTAGCGCTCCTTCGAGACAGTCGAGGAGCGCAGTAGGAGCGCCTGCGCGATCGCGCTCCTTAGAAATGAAGGACTGAGGCAGGGTGCTTTTGGGCAGTACAAGGCCTGAAGGGATTGAACGCCAACCTAGTCAGTTGTCCCACTGTCAATTATTTGACGGTAAGTGATTTGGACTTAGCGTCTGTATTAGCTCTTTCATTACCTAAGTCAGACGCCAGTGTGGCGACTTCACATGCTTCGCTGGGCAGGCTGATCCCAACGTCGTTGTTAGCACTGACCCGGAAGTAATAACTTGACCCCGGGTTGAGGTCATCTACCCTGAAAAACAGGTCGGTGACGTAGGCAGCTGCAATTTCCCATTTCAGAGTTTTCATTCCTGCAAGGCAACAATGCAATGCAATATTTCATTATTTTCTGCTTCACTTCAAGTCAAACATTCAAATTCTAGGAAAGCGTAATGGCAGCTTGATACTTCATGCAAAATTGCAAATGCCAAGTGATTTTTACATAAAAACTTGAAATGTGGTAAGCTCTTGCAGTGAGAACACATGCCCTGACATAACATGTCCATGATCACTTTCAAACATGAACCAACCTTATCGGCACAGACAACAGTTACAAGAGCATTTAGTTTTGCATAAGTCATTATCACGAGCGGGCATAATATTAAATATATTGTAGATGTGGTTTATCCCTGTAACTTTGGGGTTGCTCACTGCAATAGATGTGAGCAGTCAACAAACAGTTGAATGAGTCATCGTTTGCATCTAACCTTGTAACGCATACTCCACTGTGTATGCAATGATCGGACTGTGCCTCGTCCGTTGTGGTACATCCCATTTGATGACTACTGAGGTGGCTCTGACATCGTGTACAGTCAGATTACTCGGCGGCTTGGGTTTGCCTGCAAAAAGAGACCAAGAGAAGTTCAAAAGATGGCACACTTATCATCCGTGCGACCATAAGCTGGTTTGTTTCTAAACTGTGGCTTTCCTTTGAAAGTCACTCCAAACAAGTCTCAAGTTAGTTGTGCTAAAGCCTACAGAAAGGAGAAAAGGAGAAAACTGGATAACTGTACTTGTATTTTTTTTTTTTTTGCTCAAGTTTCTGTGACACTCAGCTGCTGAAGGCCGTTGCACACTATCCAAACACTCCGTGTTGGACCCGGGTTAAACACCCTAAGATTTTGGGCACCCCTTTCACACTAGCAGGAATCCAACATGGCTTCTCATGGGTCCAGCAAGTTAATTCAAATTCGGCCTAGGGATGGGACCAAGGTTGAGAGGTTGTACACAAGTAGAAAATCCAAAATATACAACTAAATTGTGTACACACAACTGCATGTGTGAACGGTTCTCTGCTGATTTCTGCTAAGCAAGAAGCTCTGTTAAGCAATATCTTCTGCTAAGCATCTCCATGAAAATGGTCCTGGGTTCTGTCAATCGCTGCGACTTTTCAAATGTATTGTCTCATGTTTTATTATGATGACAGCCATGTTGTTAGATTCCATTTTTTTAAAGTAACATTTTCAACTTATATGGTTCTGACTTTTGGTTAAAAAGTCACTGTTAAGTGGATTGAGCACTGTAATTCCTGTTATTGTTATTATAATGTACCTCTAACAGAGACCAGCGCACTGCACGTCTGCGAGCCGACCGCGTTGAAAGCAATGCATGTATACTCCCCCTTTTCCTCGCTTCGGATGTCAGCAATCTCAAGTCTCGCCATCCCGTTCTCCCTCTCCATCATCCTCACGCGATGGTCAGCTCTGAGGGGAGCAGAGGTGGGCGGAGCCTCCCAGGTGATGGTGGGCGTCGGCTTGCCGCACACCTGACAAGCGAGGATGAGGTCATCGCCCTCATTGACCGTCTGATTGGTCAGAGGGGTGGTGAACTCAGGAGCAGCTGTGAAACAAACAAAATGAGTTATTACTGAGATAAGCTATTATAGTTTTAACCCATTACCACCCACACTACATTTTATTACGTTCTAATACACTTTATTTATTTGTTGATGAATCTGAGAAACCAAAAAGTGCTCGGGCAGATTTGGGCGGTACAGGGAGTAAGAGGCATAGCAGTATCTGGCATTACAGGGTCTAATGATGATTATTTCCCAGTTCCAAATAAGAGCAGATTAACATTTTATTGATATTCTTAAGCTATACTTACATTCGTACACAAAATGTGGATACAGGAGCTGTGAGAAAAAAAGAACATAAAAAAAGGAAATAAATTAGATTGATGAATTGTCATAAGTGGCAATCGATGAATAGAAAATAGTGGCAAATAGTGAATATGGCATATGTACATGTATCTTTGTATTTGCCTGAAGGCATCCCCTAAAATACCCCTTTCTTTTGATCCATGAATTTTGTGAAAAAAAAGTTAACAGTAAAACCTCAGGAACACTTGATTTCAAAATGCTTGTTTTTAAATCATGAAATCAGGAAAAATCTGGACAAAAAATCCTTGAAATCGGAAAAAATCCTGAAATCAGGAGAAATACCGACTAATCTGACCCCTAGGGTAGGGCCTGAAATGCCAATCCCGATGTGGACCTTGGTGGGATTCAAACTCAGTCAATAAGAGATGGAAGGCGAGGGAAAGTACCCCTGCACCAACCATTGAGACTGCTATGCCTACCTTGGTGGCTATTTTGGAGCCCTTAGATTCCTTCTCCCGACCCCCTCTGTTGCTGTCTATGCTGCCGTCTGACCCTGACCTCATCTTAGGGGTCAGATGCTTCTCCTTCCGATCTGACCTTTGACCAGATCGGCGGATTCGGAACGCCTCGTGCCACGAGGATGTTTTCCTGAGAAAAGCATCAAAAAGTGTTTTATTTGTTTTTCGTTAGTCCTAAATTTGATTTTTGTGTGTGTGTGTAGAATATACCTTTTTTTTTAAATTTAATTTTCATCCCAAAAATAACCCTTTCAGTGTCATGCTACAACACGCACAGACACACACACCTTCAGATCCCACAACAGGGGAAACAATGAACTCAAAATAGACATTTTGCGTTAAGGCAGAGTTAGATCTGGGATCTGGAGGTGTGATGTGGGCCAAGTGTGTGGCACTGAAAGAGTGCAAGATGTTAACATAAGATCTGTTTGAGTCTGTGGTGAGATCTAGAACATGTTGATGTTAATTGTGTTAACTGATGTAGGTATATGGAAGGTTAGGGCTAAGACTTCTTAAGATGGTGATTCGTTTCCTTAGTTAATCTCATGGAGAAAAGGTTCCCTGAAAAGGAAATTTAACAATTACACAATGCTTGTCAGTTATAATGAATTACTGAGAATGGCACCTTGGAGACATTTTCATAGACTTGTGCAAAAAAAATATAAACCACCAAAAACCCTCCCATAATTCCATTTCAAAATACTCCCTTAACTTTTCAGTAATACTATTCTCGACCTAAGGAATGGGTTCAAGCAAATTTTGAGGGCGCAATTCATGCTGGGAATGGCAGTGAAAACATTAGGGAGACATTTAAATGTCACCTTACTGACCAGTGTCTCTATAATGTCGAATAATTTACTTTGAAGTGTCTCTCTAAGGTGCCATTCGATGTTTTAAGTTGTAAGTTTGAAGGAATTTGATGACTGTAGACATTTGACTGGGAACTCACAGTTCAACAAAAAACAAACAAATGAACCCTTAATCTTTTGCACGGTGTCTACCCGATGTTCCTCAGTACCTATGTCCCCCAAATCCTTAGGGTTAGGGTTAGGGTTAGGGTTGGGTTAGGGAACAAAGGTATTGGGGAACATAGGTATGCACCCTTTTTGCACAAAGCAAAACAACAGGTCAATTACTGACTGAATCAACCAAGTTTTAATGCCTTTTGTTTCAGTTGAACAGCGAGAAAAGGCTGAATCTTCCGGGAGGATAACTTCTTACAGAGTTAATAAACATCTGAATATTTGAACAGTGATTTACATATTCTTATAGACCAATCCAAGCGCACTCTCATTGTAACTCACAGAGCTGAGGCCCCCTCTAATGGCGAAAGCATCATGCCCGCTATTGTTTAGTTACTCTGTTATCAGGCAGTTGCTTTGTACAGTAGCTTGCACAGTGCTTTCACCATGGAAGGGGGCCTCAGCTTTGTGAGTGTACAGCGTGCTCAGATTGGCCCGTGAATTATTTCAATTATTCTGTAACATTTACCAACCATGTTGGTGGATCCCAGTTTTTTTTGTTTTGTTTTTTACTTTTTTTTTTTAGTTGTGTGATGACATTCTAATCGGCAGTTCCAGCTTACTGAATGTCTATCATCAGCTGTCATCAATTCCTGGACAGAATCTGATTGTGTTTTGTTCAATGGATGAAATCATTTCTAATATTAAACATGCATGGAATGGAATGACTGATGGGATGTTTTCTAATGTGTAAAATGTGATCAGACAAATGAAAACAAAAATGACAAAATGGCAATGAAATTTGGGCTATGTCATTCTTGATATCAGATGACACTTGGTTCAACTTGGCACCAGTCGTGGTCTCAAATGCATTTTACCCTACTCAGGCTCAGGTTCTTTTTTCCATTGGTCACTCACTGTCACATGGTTATCAGCAATAGCTCCTGATTGGTCAATCATGCTCAGCACAATTTGAAAAGTTTACACAAAATATTCTTACACCAATTCTGCACATTTAGTTTCCCCTCTTAGCAAAAACAGTGCTTCAATCAACACATGCATACTTTTTCTCAAAACAAAAAAAGCTTAATTTGGACACAAATTTAACATGCAATATCCTCAATACACAATTATCAATCGGCTACACATAAGATTTTACAATTTCCCACAACCTGCTTTTCAAAATTTTTCCTCAACAGATTAAAAAAAAATTAAATAAAGAAAAACAAAATGCAAAAATAAAAGCACCATCCGACAATGTAAAAAAAGTGTAAAGTTAAGGTGCATGTTAAAGGAAGGAGCACTAGCACCTCTGCAAGCAATCTTCATCGTACAGGCAGGCATTTACACTAGTAGTACATGCACAGGGCGAGTCCGAAAAAGCGGAACCCCAAAACAAAGAAATATATTTCATATAAAAAAATTATGTAGCACCAAAATTTATTATGACTTGGAAGCCCATTTATTAAACTACTTTTAAGTGAGAAAATTATTTCAATTGCTCTACACGTTCAATTTTTTATCACTATTTAAACAAAGCAACTCTAAAATTAGGTTCGTCCAAAAATCAATTTATTGTGTGTTCTGACTGTTTGGAACAACAAAGAAAAATGACACAGAATACTTGTTTCAACAAAATGTGGTACACAATGTCTCTATTAACAGCCCTGCTCGGGCAAACAATAGGATTTTTAAAATCCAATTTTGTTTTAAAAAGGGGCCTTCAAAAGGACTTTGTTGAGTAGTTTTAACTTTTAAACTGAGCTTTTATCACTGGTGATGTTTGAAGACAATTGTAACGACCGTTCTTGAATCGCATTTTTGGACGAAACAGATTTTAGGGTTCCGTTTAAATGGTGATATAATTTGAAATGGATTGAGCAATTGAAATAATTTTTTTCATCTAAAAGTAGTTTATTAAATTGGCTTACCAGTCATTATTATTTTTGGTGCTACATATTTTTTGTTAGATATATTTCTTGGGTTTGGGTTCCGTTTTTTTTTAACTCGCCCTGTAAATACAACAGTCAGCAAGCAGCTAATTAGGCACAAAACACAGACACTATCACATACATGTACAACAAGACTAAAAGGAAGTAAACAAGTGCAAAGCTACATGTACATGGGCTATTTCTACTTCAGCATGAAATATGCGCTAGATGGATACAAATAAAAGTTGACAATCTTACCAAAACATTGATATCTCTCGATGGCACAAAAAAAATGTTTTTAAGAGCATACACAAAAAATATAGCAACCACTAACCAAAGATATTTCATAAACCATACAGGCAATATACTTAACTCCTTGTAAAGATGGGGGATCGATTATTAGGATTTTTTTTGGGGGGGGGGGGGTGAAGGATCAGCTACTCCTCTTGTTAGCTGCTCTCGCTGGGTGCGCAAGATGAGGATGTTCCTGTATCCAGCAGCATGGGGGCGCTACACACCTCAAGCACAGGTGTCATTCGACTGGCTCCCATATGTGGTGGCTACCAGGGAAGAGTCGATCATCCCTGTGCACAGAGTGAATGCTTTTTCAACATGCCAGGGCTGTGCAGGGAGCAGACTAAACATCGTCGTCATTTGAAATCCATGAGAGGAGCCTGGTTACCGCACCAGAAGGGCTTGATTTGGTGAGCAAAGCCATGGTCCAATGGTTAAGAGAATCCCCGTTTGTGTCCCTGAGATAGAGACGTTACTACAAGATAAGACCATGGAGCTCCGTTTTATAGCTCCATAATAAGACCAATTGCTACCTATCATTCCAGGCATTTCTACTTCAATAGGCAATTTTAATCTTAGTTTTTATAATTTAAAAATAAAAATTGAATGGATAAAAAAGGGACCTGAAAGCTTTGTTTATTTGTACGAGTACTTTGTTTTATATCCTTAGTTGAACAAATTTTTGGATATCACTGCGCTGTACAAGAAGAATTTCAAAGGACTGGCAAAATCTCAATTTTGTTTCATACTGGTTCACTGCAGCAAGAGTTGGTAACCAGCAGGCTCCCATGATGTTTCTGCTGATGCATGACCGACCATCGTTCTATCTATTGATGGAATTCGAAGAAAGTTTCAGTTGTTCACTTCTACGCTGCAGCAACTGGTATCCAGATGCCTGGATACCAGTTCACCTCCCCCACTTTTTCTTCATTTTTAAGGTAATTGATATATGTTAATTCATAAATTAAAAAAAAATGCTGTGCCACTAGATATAAAAACTACCTTTTCACATTTACAGAGAATTGGCATTGCATTTCTAAGAGGTCCTCTACATGTTCTCTGGAAAGAGAAAAAATAAATAAATCGGAGGCAGGTTTCAGTGTCATTAAGACTATTTATTTTTCCTTGCCACTTAGCATTGGGCAAAAATGTTCACCTTACATGCTCTAGTTTAACCCTCTGTAGAAGTAATAAGCATTTACACAGACTTCAATAGTATTTTTTTTAATAATAATATTAATAATAATAGTAATAGTTACATAATAGATTACACTTCAATAAGTTAGAGATGGTTGAATTTTCTCGTTCACTTCTCTCAACATCTTTTTTTTTTACACCTCATCACCACACATTTGGATGCTAACTGAACACTTACATCAAGATCAATTTATCATAGTAAAGTTTATTTGTACTTAGTTTATCATTTCTAAGTTTTGTACAAATACAAATTTCACAAATTTCTTCAGTTGCCTTCGTTTGAGCAGCTAGACTAAGTCTCTTTCTTAAAAAAAAGAAAATCACAACTTTTTTTCCATTCTTTTTGAAAAGCCATCTCGAAGATGAAGTGAGAAAAGACACCACTTCAAATTCAGATGCTTTCCAAAATGCGTAGACAGGTTTTTAAACTTTCCCACCACTACTTAGAAATAAAAAGTGATATTTCAATAATATTAGAATCAATCTTGTGTTTTTTTTATCTTCACATTTGCATATCTACACCTTGAGAGAGTCACAGATTTGCATATCAATAATGCAAAGTTGTTGATGCCACACTAGTTCAAAAAATGGACTCGCCACGGAAACTTGCCAGAAATTGGCAAGAATGGACACACAGGAACACGATCACTCACATCGACGTTTTGTTTAACAGGAGATTTTTGCACAGCACCTCTTTTCTAAGTATTTACAGATAATAAAACAAAGAAACAAAAAAAACACCCTTTTTTTCTCCTTTCATTCTGGCAAAACATATCACAAAGTACAAGTTACTTTTGAGTGATCTTTTATTACAAAAAAGTGACACGTTATTTTCCTAATCTTTGCAGATATATATCTAAATCATTCTCCATACAGAGGCCTGGCCTACAAAATGAAGAAAGACTCTAGTTTTCTTTTTTTTTCTTTATACACATATTTAAAAATGTATTTCATCTTGAATTCTAGTGAGCTAAATGTTGACATAAATATCCACCTTTGACAAAGTGTTAATAAATAGAAAAAAAGAGGCCTTTCTCACATATAAGCTACATCGAGAGTACTTGGCACTGATTTCAGATGCTCAACGACTACTCAAGCATCAAAGAAATCTTGCACTGAAGAGTAGATGTGGAACTCGCAATGTGGCAGTTATTCTATCAGGATATACACGACCTGATCGTCATCTAGCCATTTGACACATTACTGAGAAGAGTCAAGTTGACCGAACTACTTTACATGTTAAAAAGTTTGAAGACATGGTTCAAAGTGCCTATGAACTCTGTGCGCGAACAGTAGAAGACACGTTATGACCACTTTTGAATGCTCTGGTGGTTGGGACACACTGTGTGTACGTACTGATTCATGCGCGTATGGCGCGAAGTACGCACGACTTATTTTATTCTGAATGCACACAAAGCCACAACGTCTTCGCGTGAGTGTCAGGTGTTACCGGCAACGTGTTCAAATGTCCGTTCAAGCAGTCCCCCAACTTTCTCTTTTTAACCGTTGAGGGGGTACTTGCGCACGAGGTCTATGTTATCAGCATACCCGTCCATATGCAACTGTGATTGAAGCGCGCATAGGAGGACCATGATCCTACTGAGCCATTTTTCTAGGTTCTACACCTCTAGGAAATTAAAGCTACATGTATGTGAGAAAGGCCTTCTAGCAGTGTTTTAAGTTAATATATTTTTACATCTTTTAAAAACAGTTAATTATTCTGAATTCTCTCACTCCCACCACCTCTCCCCATCGTGTCTTTATCACCGTCTGTCACTCCCTCTGTCACACAACAAGCACCTCCCTAAATTGGCTAGCATCTCAGAAAAAAAGTACAGGATTAAAGGTACGATGCCAAAATCTACCAGTGCGCTTATTGGTTACTGAGTTCTTACATTGGAGACTTGTGTCTCGTAACGTCGCAAAAAATTCAGAATTTTTTTTTTATCGGTTTATTTATTTTAATAGTTCATTTACATGACCATACCGTTGCAAAAAAAGTAGGTCAAGTATGGTAGCACATTGACTGGTGGCCACATCACTCAACATCAAAGATTACAGATTTTAATTTTTTTTAATAGGAAACCAGTACGCACATTGTAAAAATACACAGTTTCAAGTATACATTTTTGTATTATTAGGTGTACTGTTTCCTAAAAACATCAACAATGTTCACTGGTGTTTTAAAAGAAAACCTCAGATATTTACTGGGTTTACAACTAATAACATGACTGTCCTAAACACCAACAATCACCATTGTTTATTAATGAGATGTATACATGGATAATTTTATAGTTTTTTATCATACAATTCTTCCTGATATTTTTCTTTTTTTGGCCAAAATTGCACGTCAGCCGTGGTGTAATTTGTTTATGAAAGACTACTTTTACATTATTTAGTTGTTTTCTTTTATTAATATAACTACAGTGACTTTTTAAATATTTTACACATGTGGTACTGATATTATGGATTCACATTTCAATCCAGATTCAAGTATCTGAATCTCTCTTCCAAAGCAAAGAAACAAATTTGTTTACAAATGTGTTTACAAAACACTAAATATTGAGGGGAAAAAGTTCATTTCAATACTTACAAATTGAAACAAAAGTTAGATTCAACAAATTTTTAATTTCTTTGATTAACACGTTCAGTTCTAAAGCTTCATTACTAATTACAAAAATTGAAACATAAATGTCGTGAATAACTTTCCTGCAAATGTGGACAAAAAAAATAGGTGGAATTTTATTTTAATTAATGAAAAAAAAAGAAGAACATATCACAATGGGATGACCGTGACAGTTTTCTGTCAAACACTTGCAGGTTCTTGCATAAAATGGCTTGTATCAAAAGAAAGTGGGCTGGGGTCTTTCGTTATGGTAGCCACAATCTGGCTGGTACGTGACAAGCACAAACATAATCATTTCAAAAAACTAAGCTGCTGTGGTGTCTTCTTATATACCCTGTAACATCAAAAACTCTTAGTTTTCAACAACCAAAAAGTCTTCAGATTTTGTCTGCCTCGTAGAAAGAATGGCACCTCTCATTCTGGATTCATTTAAATGGCACCAAGTCAATCAAATGCAGTGTTTATCAAATTATGGGTAAATACTCCCCCTTACTCAAGTGTCTCAGAGGAGTTATTTCGGCTGCTGATTTTGTTCCCAATATTTCATAAAAAGCATCGCTACATTTTGGTCCTTTATTAGAAATTACCATGGTTCTTGGTACTTTCTCTTCATCGTTTTTAATATCCCCTCGCATTCTAAAAGCAAATAAACAAACAAATACAAAAAAACCCAAAGGAGTTTTGGTACGATCTTTAAAGTTCTGTTAACCCCCATCCCCCACCCCCCCCCCCCCAAAAAAAAGTATGTAAAAACCTTAAAAATATGTTCCCTTTACTGGTGCTGATGAAAGTATGAATTTTGAGTGACCGTGAAGTGTACGGTATATGAATATGTTTAATGGCTATTTCTCGGACACCTTTGCTCCAAGTGGGATGGGAATGATTCAAATGTTTTTTTTTTCAGGATGGAATTTCAATGGATGGAAGAACGTGATTTTGCTAAAAAGCTTCTGATCTGATCAAATTGGACACAACAGAACAATGACGACTTTGGGCCTTAACGCCTCTGATTCAATTATAATTTCTTTTCTAGGACAGGTGAGAAGTTTTAGAGTTACGTAACTGTGAGGGGAAAAATGATGAAGCCCTTCGAAATAATTTACACTGAAGCAACGCTACACAACTGTAGAAATGTCCTCAAAACGCAATAAAAATAGAAACTTGTGGAATTTTTCACTGAATGGGAATTTGCTCTCACAGCGTCATGTCATTTAAATGTGCTTTTACTTCTACAATTTGTGCTCAAATCTTAAGGAATTTACTTGATTTGTTTTTAAATATGCAGTTCAAAAAGCCATTCTTTTCGCTATTCATGGTTACTTTCATGGAATAACTTTGGACAAAAACTCAATGAGGAAAAAAAACATTTCATCTTATTTTTTGATCTGTGTTTTTGAGGACAACCAGCAACTGTGAAGCCTGATGAAGTCAATCAATTACAATACAGGTGTTACACTGGAAATACCCTTAGAAGTTTGAAACTGTTAATAATTAGTTCTAAGATTTAGTTTAGGAGTTTAAATGAAGCCAGACGCTACAGTTTACAGCCAGGCGGGGAATTTGTTTGTTTGTGTTTATTTTTTTTCAAGAAGCGTAAGTCACATAGGACAACTAAAGAGCTTGCTACAGTGTATCAGCAGCTAAAACTAAATCAATTGTATTCAATTAATTTATTTCAATTATTTAACTGTAAAAAAAAGTAACAAAAGTATTTTTTTAACAACTTAAAGATCTCCCACATGCTATTGCAACATTTGATTTTGGCTTTAGCATTTTTTTTGGCATGGGTTGTGGTAATAAGAGTACTTCATTTTCATTTTTGCAACGTACTGATTTGCGTTTAAGTCAATAATGTAAAAAAAACCAAAAAATGGAGAAGACGAAAAAAGAATACAAAATGCAAAAATAAGAGAATATATTGCAACAGCTGAGAAAAATTACCAAATTTTTGAAAATAAAATCAAAGACATCGGCAGGTTTGTTTCTTCAAAATTGCAAATACCCCTCGCCTCTTTTTTCTCTGATAAATGGGATGATTGACCAAAACCCCTCGAGGAAGTTACACATTTCCCCCCCTGACATCTCAGAATAAGGATTAGCTAACCTGACAAGCCCATGTCCATTAAACACCACACTCCAAACTATCAACGATATTAGTACTAGGTCAGGATCATGGTCAAGAAGATCCAACAGCATTTCCAAACAACAAAGCTAGTAGTCTCCGCCATTCAAGCTCATTGTTTAAACAGAACAATCTTTAAGTCTACAAAAACGCAGATAATTTGTTTCTGTTGTAGCTGTTGTGAGTTTAAAGAGTTTGAGTGAGTTCAAGATGGTTGTGAACTTGGTGGTTGTGGTTGGGGGTGAAGTTTGAGAAGATGTCAACAAATTAAGGTTGGGGGAAAGAGGGGAGAAGCTAGGTTTCTCAAACACAAAGAGGTGGGTTGCCTTACTTCGGGGTGGTTTCACTGTTGGTGGCAGAAGCGGGATTAGCCTGTGTTGGAGAGCTTCCCGGGTCTCCTAGGAGCTCCTTGGTGTTGCCCAGGACGTGGCCGGGTAACCAGCCCTCAGCGGCTGGGGAGTGCTGGGAGGAGGCTCGATGGACCAGGTACATGTTGTGCTGATTGGCCGCCAGGATCTGAACCATGTCGCCCTTGGCAACTGTGATCTCATCTTCCTTTACCGCTGTATAGCTGGAGATGATCGGGGACATGCATGTTGACTCAACCTGTTGGATGCGGTGTGAGAATAAGTGCAGTTACAGTTATGGACAACCATATATTAAACAAGGATCTGGGCACTTTTGTGTATCATTTTATTTCAGTTTTTGTTTGAACAAATTTTGACTGAGTAGAATTCGAACCCTGAAGTCTGGCGTACAGTACCAGTACTCTCCCAAGGGAAGTATTAACCCTATATTGGCGTTCTCCATATATTTTTGAAATTGGAAAGAAAACAAATCTCTAAACAGTGTATTACACTTTACATTTTTGTATAAAGGAACTGACTAGATCTCAGTGGAGGCACTTACAAATGTATCGTCTCCCTCTGCACTGGACACAGATGTATAGCTGAGTCGATTCTGTGTTACTCCAGAGGCTTCCATTGCTCTGTTTTCCACTGCATTCCTACTCCGGTACGGTGATGAGTCTAACGAGACTTTCCTGTTCCCGCTGGAGCACAGCTCTTGGTCTTTTTGGATGGACCCCGTGGAGGCTCTCTTGGATCTAGGAGTGACACCTTCCCTGTTTGGCGGGGGAGCCGTCAGCCCAACGGGGCTTGGCGTCGTATCCAGGGGCGGCGGTGGCGAACCACTCTTGGGTAAGGTTAAGGATCCCGTGGATCCACCTTGGCTGGATTTTGATGGTACAGAGTCCCGTGCACTCTGAGTTCGTTTAAGTGGACTCTTAGAGTTCCTCTGTGCATCGGATTCCTGTTCCAGTGGCGACGCACCCGCCAGATCCGCATTGCTGGACAGCGGTGATGATTTGTTACTATTCTTATCAATGCTCTCCTTGGATGACCCTGTTTCTTTGCCCCCTTTCAGGCTCTCCTTGGACCCCATAGGGGACGTGTCCCTGGACTTGCTCGGCCGGAACGAGTGGAACAACCCGTCAAAGAACTTCTTACGCAGCGAGGGGGAGCCGCTTTGCTGGTTCTCCTTCTCGCACGAGTTCTTGTGGTTGGAGGTTTTGAGTCCGTCTTTTTCCGTCTTGTCTTCGGGCTGCGGAGCCAGGGCAGGGGGAGACGTGGGTTCCTCCGGCTGCCCCGTCAGCGGTTTCTTCTTAGCAGCCTTCTCTTTATCTTTGAGTTCCGCCAGGGAGATGGCTGCTGGTGCAGTCTGGTTCTTGCGATGGCTCTTCAGGCTGCTGAACAGGGCATGCTGCTTTTGGAGTGAGGATGCCGGCTGGTCGCTCGTCTGGGAGTTGGACTTGCGTAGCTTGGAGAACATACTGCTTGCTGTCGATGTCTTAGCTGGAGGGGCTTGCTCAGGTCTGTTGGTCATATCCACAGAAAGGTTTCAACTTATGCTAAAGTTCCATTGATATGATAATGCTGAATTTCTAAACAAGAAGAATTTGATTAAGTCTAGCAAAATTTTACCCAGGAAATCACATGTATATGGGAGAACACAGTCAAGGAAAATTTTCCAACATAAATGACATCAGTCAATAGAGTAACGAAATAAGTTTGAGATCAAACAAACAAACAAACAACCAGCTAGCATCAACCTGGTCAAAATACTCATGTAAATTAACAGACACAACTGTTTTCAGTTTTAAGCCCGTCATCATCAGCTTAATACCTTTCAAACCCAAGCTCTTCTATTCTATTGTAACATCTACAATCTCCCAATGTTTTTTTCAAGTTCATTTTGCAGACATGAAGAACTGTTTAGACATACCCCTTCTTGTCAGTTGAATCTAGACCTTTCTGGTATTGGATCGGAGACTGCAGTGCTGCAGAGAACAAAAACAAGAAAAGTAAATGAAGAGATGGCTAAACAAGATGTTCAAAAAAGCTAATTTACTATGTACAAATTAGTACGTTAACATGATGAGCCGAACACAGTCAAGGGAGATGTATTAAAGTGGACTAGCAGCTCGACATTGACACTGTACTTGCTCCCCTATAGTCATGGACAACTGAACAATACGAAATTAAGAGCCCAAAACCTCCCTTTACCAAAGCAGGGTTCTCCCCAGGATTTTTTCAAACCTGTGGGGGAAGTTTTGTTGTGATTCACCAACCTGCGAAGCCACGGCGTGGGGTTCGGGGCCCGCTTAAGGGCCCCGAAATATTTTGAACTTTAGAGGCTCTCTGGTGCATTTTAGAGCAAATCTGGGGAGTCTTTTAGGAAGATTTTTCCTTAAAATTTAGTGGAGATCTTGTGATATTTTTTGTAATTAGAGAAAAAAAATATCAAAATTTTTAACTTAAGAAAAAATCAACATTTCAAAACCTGTGTTAAAACTTCTTGAGCTAGAAAGTATGGATTATATTTACAAGCAAGTTTCAAATTAAGAAATTAAGGTGAACAAAAAAATCACTTTTGCTTCCGACTTCATGCCTTTCAAAATAGCGTCGGTAGGTCGAAAAAATTATTTCGCCAATTTTTTGGGCTGCTGATTGAATCATGGAGGAATAAAAACACATGATTGAATGGAGCATATTGAACAAGGAATCATGTAGTTTTGTGCCTGGATTATTTTCCTTTGCACCACCATGAGCACGAAAATTATCTAGACTGATCATCAGAAGTGATTAAAACTTGCCTCACCTAATTAAAAATATATTTGAGGAGGTTGATTCCACTATATGCTTAACGTACATCACGGCCCCTGGCGCCATCATTCAGTCTGGCCGGCCGCCGGCCGTAAATCGCGCCGTGCACACACGGCGCAGTATCAGTGTGCATTACTGCACTGTGTACGGCCCATCCCATGTGGCCAAAAATTTTGCACTACTGCTCCTAAGAAGCACGCTACGATGTTTCGCCACAAGTTCGAGCTTTGCAATCTCGTCATTTTAATGGAAAATACAAACACAGAAAATAAAGATCACGTTCTGTGAATTAATTTGCAGAAATTCTCTTTCTCCATCGATGTTTGTTTGGTGTTTTTACGATCCAACTTCGGCCGACATCATCATCATGCATGCACGCACGAGGCAGTAGTCACTGGTTCCGGTCCTTCATCATAGCATTGATACTGTTAGCATGCGAAGGGAACCAGTGTACCGTGTTGTATGCGCTAATATATAGCTGGCGGTCAACGCGAAAGACCCGTCATCGTGTGCATTTTGATCACACATGCATCAGAAATACGGGATTTTTGTCAAGATTTTGCATGTCAAGATGAAATAATGGCATATGAAACGATTATGTTGCGCATTTTAATGGCTTGTATAATAATTATATTGTGCGTATCGGGGGCTGAAAAATGTGATCGGCATTTTTGTCGGCGTATCGGGCCGCAAATTCAGCGTATCGGGCCGATACGCACATTTGTACGTGGGGAGAACCCTGCAAAGTTGGTCTAGTGGCATGAGCTGTCCATACAATGAATGCACAATACAACCCTGTGAACAGTGTGGGCCTGTCCTTTCAAGACACAGTCCTACATAAAGCAGGATTGACTGGCTGTTGCTGTTTGTGTAACTTGATACACCTGTGCTTTGACTGTAGATGATTGATAAGACAGCTGTGCTACCAAATTCCTGCTTTTGTCTGTTGACTGAATTTGACTAATCAGAGTGTTTGCTTAAAATATGATCTGACAGTTTGTGACTAGCCTGTGTAAAAGGCATGGCAGGGGAAGTGGATGGAGTATTTGACTGTCTGTGACTTTTCAAACAGTAGGAGGATTAAAAACGTCTTAGATACTTTTTTTATTATCTCCTCGAGACCGCTCACATTTTTTCAAAGACATGAATCGAAAAAATTTGGATATTCAGATATACGGACATTCGGTCGATGATCGACTATTCAAATAGTCCGTGCATTCGGCACAGCCTTACTTGTGCTCGGTCATCCAAAACTGCAAGGATGCAATGAAGGTAGCAGTGGACCAAGTTCATAATTTTTACATACTAACCCAATATTTCTGGTTTATTTTTCTTTATATACAAACCCTGTCCAACATTCCCAGACTCCTGCCAGTGCAAGACCTCCCCCCCCCCCCCCCACCTCCCCCACCCTCCTAATAGAACCCTCGTTCTTACCTCTGAGGAAATCCTGTTGTTGGTTCAACAAATCACGGATCTCTTGGAACCAAGTACTCTTCTCTTCCGGTGTCTGTGTCTGAATCAAGAACTTCTCCCCGCCTCGCTCAATCAGCTTGAACTGCAGAGTATCATCTTCGATGTCTTGTATGGACAGGGTGTTAACCTATGGACAAGCAATGAAATGAATAAATATCTTTAAAAAAAGACTTCTTGGTTGCTTTTTTCCACTCACAAGAACAAAAATTATAAGTAACGATTTTATTCACTGGAATTCTGTGCTGTGATTGAGTGTGCCCTATAAAAAAGACTAAATTTAAAATATCAGTCAAAACATTTCTTGATATGAAAGTGGCCCTAAGTATAAGCACCCTTCATAGGATGAAGATTTAATTTTATTTCATAGTAAATTAACTTTTCAAATGAGCTAAAGATATCTAATTTGTTTCCTGTTGGGAAGTACTTTGACAAATGAGCACAATCTGATAATCTACCACTGTTTGGACCTTAGAGTCAAAGTTTTCATATACTTAAGTTGATTTCATGCAAGTGTCCACCCTGTGCTGAAATCATGTCCTTGTAAGTTAATTACAGGTCTTCCAGACACATTGCAAGCAACACGCTCCTAGAATGAACTGTGAAAAAAAAAGGAATTTCTTGGCTTTTGTTTATTCGCTTTTGTGACACAACATGTGATTTGACTTCTGACTGATCATTACTTGTGACCCGATTTGTGATTAGAGTTATGACCTACTTTGTGAACTACCTTGTGATTAGACTTGTGATCTAGCTTGAGATTACACTTGTGATCTAGCTTGTGATTAGCCTTGTGATTAGACTTATGACCTATCTTGTGATTAGTCTTGTGATTACACTTATGATCTATCTTGTGACTAGTCTTGTGATCTACCTTGTGATTAGACCTGTGATGAGTCTCGTGATCTGACTTGTGATGTGGGTTGTGATTTGAGTTATGATTGCTTGTGACTTGTGATTTGACTTGTGACTGACTCGCTTACAACTCTGCAATCAACCCTTCAGACCCACCTTCATGCTCTTCTTGAAGATGTAACCCGGATTATTGAAGCTTCCCTTCTTCTTCTCCAGTGGTTCACTGAAGATGATGATCTGCTCAAACATGAAGACCCTACGCTCCTTGAACTTCAAGTTACTGACGTTCTCGGTGATGCTGAGGGTCCCCTGACGGAGGAGTTTGCCCTGAGCTGTGATCTTCCCCTGTGAACGATCAAAAATATAGATCCATCAGGGTTCCTAGCACTTAACGAAATCAAAACTCCCTGAGCAATTTTCCAACATTCCATGAGAAACATCTTCACTTTAATGAGATTGCTGGGAAGTCTAGAGGTGGTTGCAGCAAAGCATATATATATTCACACTGCATACACACTAAAAAGCCACCATAGCCAGTCAGTCAACGGACGCAGCTTGGACACATGGCACAAGACGCACATATGCCAAACAGGCGGAAACCTTTCCCTTCTGGGTCACTATCACATTGCATGAGTTTTCCCTGCTTTTTGGTGTTTTTCTTAATTCCCTAATTTTTCCCCGACTGGAAAAATGGAAACTCATTTTCAACGTTTTCCCTGATTTTCAAATTGGCCGGGAACCCTGTCTGTCAATCGGATACTTTGGTCTTGAGACTCTGAATGACAAAACCGGGGTAGCAACAGCCAGAGACGGTGGAGAGACGGTGTTGGTGGGCTCCACACAAGAAGCGAAGATGACTTTTGACTACTTCCCTCCACTTCACGTCAGGAGGCAGTCAAATCTGCCAACATCTCAGGACCATTTGTGTCGCACTTCTTCCCCTTAAACCTTGTGATATTTGTATACTGCTACGTGAGTGAAAGAAAAAAGCAAAGTGCGTTTGAAGTCCGGCCTCCTGGACAGTATTTCTATTCCCCCTGGATGGGATGCTAGTGAGTCCATCGCAGGTTACTCCTCAGCTAAATGCCAGTGACCATTTATACTCCTGGGTGGAGAGAGGCAAGTGGAGGCGAGGTGGCTTGCCCAAGGACTCAACATATGGCCAGCAGCTGGATTCGAACCCCTGACTCTCTGATCATGAGTCAAAAACCCTAACCAGTGAAAGGTACTTACATCAAAGCCCTGTAGCCTACTGATGGCCATCATGTCATTGGCTCTCTTGGGAACGACGCACATTATCTGGACTGCCGTCTGTGGGTCAGTGAAAGATTTTATCGTTAGTTAAGTTCTCTGAAAGTTTGAAGTCATTGAATTCAGAATTAAATGGACAGAATAAAATGATACACTCAACGTTGAGCCAACATATATGGCCTCGTAATCCAAGCACCTGCCATTTTGAGTCAATGTATCGGTTCATTTGAGGCAAAGAATTCATCAATTTACAAAAATGTTTGGAGAAAAAAATAAAAGACTTTTTTTACAATAGAGGCAACTTTATGAAAAACAAAAATTCTGCCCTCCAAAAAAAAAGATAAAAAAAAAGGAAGAAAGAAGAGATAAAGTTATTGCCGACTTACCTCCAACGTTTCTGTATCTAAACCGGCTTTCTTGGTTTGCTTCAGGAAATCCTGCAGGAAGAAAATAAAACCACATTTCTCATGACCATCTTTTTTCGTGATTTGAGGCCAAAAAATCCTTCATTTTGGTTATATCTGTAATTGGGGGAGGGGAGCACGGACAGGAATACATGTGTATTTGAGGACAGGCAAGGGTCTCTTTTGAGATCTGATTGGTTACCATCAACGATTTGGCCATAATCAAACTCTGAATTCTCCATGAGAGATTTGAGGCCGTGTTCAAGATTTGAAGTGGGCAGCCACTCGTGCTCTGTTTGGATACACCAGGGACACCATCATAAAAGAGATCAGACCACTGTCTTTCAAATTGCTGGAATTATTTACAGAAGTCACAGGAGAGCAGTTGGGGGCCTCCGATCAGTCAAGAATCCTTAGGACTCTCAGGAAATGTAAGGAAGATGCAGTTAACTCACCTTGAGAAGGAGTTGATATTTCATGATTCGCTGGACTGGTTTAATCAGCAGATCAGCCAGGGATAACTTGTGGCCTAACTTGACTCTTACTTCCTGCAAGGCACAGACACAAAAACAACAGAATCCAGAATGTTAACATTTGACGGCTTGCAAGGTGGAGTCTGCAATAAGAACGAGTCTGCTGTTGCACCAAGCGGATGGAAATCCTTTTTGGGGGGGGATGTTGTGAGGTTCTGGGAAGATGCAGTGGAAACCTCAGCGTTTTGGACAGTATGCTCTGCCTGTTGTCAGGAGACTGAGCGATTCCAGCTGGTTATGGGGTTTTAAAGGATAACTGGAACACTGAAGCAACACTGAGCAAAATGATGAATTGGCCAAGTTAAAAAATGAAAAGACTTTCTCCGGTAACATCAACCCTTCTGGTCCTTTTAATTTAAAAAAAAAAGGTCTTTGTAATTGAAATGATAATTGAAAATACTTACTTCAAAAAATGCTTCATACTCGGAGACGATGAACTCTGATTTGGGTTTATTCTGGCAATAAACCACATACATTTGTAACCTCCTCTCCTGAGAAAATAAAATAAATGTTATGATCCGTGAGTGTTATATTTCCTCAATAATTGTGGAAACTGCTTTGACATTAATACAATTCACCTGGTTGAGATATGATGGATACAGTAGGAGTGTGATGATTGGACACAACCCAAACCACATAGCACACTCCTATTGTCTCCACTATTATCACAAAACAGCTGGTTACATTAAAAACACTCAGGAGCCTACTCACATATTTCTTAAACAGTCCGCCTAGGAGTTCAGGGCTTTCGAAGCACTTGGCAATTTCAATAGAAAACGTTCTGTGGACAAATTACACATAAAAGAGTTGCACATGTTCAATGTATATCAAAAATAGGTTTTCAAACTGAAGTGATGACATTTAATGGTTTTTACAGAAACTTTCCGAATCATTCAAGACCCAAAACACCCCCCCCCCAAAAAAACCCAAAAAATTATGGCCCAACCTTATAAAATCAGAGCTTTTGAGTCAAAGATCCTCTTAAAAACAACACAACAAGTACGATCTTAATCCAAGCAAGCCTTTTGATTCATAATTTGCTAGGTTACTCTTGGGATTAATGCAAATGATCCTATTTGCCTTTAATTAAAGTCAAGGCATTCACACATTTTGGTGACCCTACTGGTTGAAGGAACGCTGCAAACATGCGTACAACCCACAAACCATCTCAATCACGGCTTCTAATCGAAGTCACCTGATCAGTCTATAAATGCTGGTTAATCATGACCCTTGACATTTTTTCGTGACCTTCCTGATGAATTACTTACTCTTTGTGCCAATCGTATATCTGATGGATGTTGCCAAACACAATCTTGATCTTGCCTTCTTCAAGACCCTCCGGCTTTTGAACATTCTCATCTTTAAGATGCACAATGTATTCCTATCCAAGAAAACGAAAATTTGGAGAGAAAAATTCACTCAAAAGTTTGGGGACAAAAATCTTGAAAGTAATCTTCAAGGTATGTTCTAGACACCTTGAGGTAGCCATGTTAATATCTTGCAAAAATGTCATTGAATATGTCGACTTTATCACGATTAGATTTTTGAGAAAAAAAATTTGAAATTTCTCATGAAGATTTTACTATCCTGATAAGATCTCTAGATTATTTTCTTTCCTTTTTTACTTTCATTCTGGTGGGGCATTTTAAATGGAGATATCACAGATTTAATTAGTTTTAATTAGGTGGTGTGTGCTTTTCCTCAATTCTGACAATGAATTTAGTTTTATCTGTAATTTCTTATGAGCGACTGTGGCTGCCTTTGGATGGCACTTTTTGTTACTTTAATTCAGTAACAATGAGTGCACAAAGCGTATCCATGACTATCCAGGTGGAACACAATCAGACAGCCACGATGCATAATGTTCACTAGATACTGAAACCTTTAAGAGATACACATCTTGTATCTGTATTTTCTTTATTTGCATTTTGATAGAGCTTTGCATTATTTGCATTAATTTATTAATTGTTTGTGCTTTTTTCAAGAATTTTAAGAAATGTAAAGCGCATTTGAACACATTTTATGGAATCTGCACTTTAAAAAAGGAAGAAATTATTTGTACAATTATTTATTATCTTGAAAAGACTTCGACGTGCAGAATTTTTTTTTGATGTCTTACCTCTACACATTTTCCTAAATCCTTCACATAATCCTTTTCCGTCTCTTGTATTTCAGCCATGATGTATCTGAAAAAAACAAACCCAAGAAAACATGGAATAATGAAAAAATATATTCAATTTAAAAAAAAATGTGATGCACAGGGCCATGAAGTTGGAGGAACTTGAAACTTTAACCCCAACATCCATTGGCAATTTTACATGGAGATTTCTATTTTTGCTTCACTAATTTGGGCAACTTCTACCTCTGCGGTTAGCGTGCTTTTTGCTGCTGTACTGTAGTTGATTCCATCTCAAGTCCATCACAAGTCTGGTCAAAAGTAAAAACGAAGGGCCTATCATGAGTCCTGTCTCAAGTAACAGGGACATAAACAATAGCAAAGAAATGCCCATGTCACTTTGGAGTTGAATTGCGATTCACTTGTGATGTTGACTTGTGGTCCATCACAAACACCTTGAACTCAACCCTGAGACTTACGATCGTTTATTGAGCGCCGCCTCTTTCTTAGCCTCCTCCTGCTGCGCCTCCGTGTCCCCTTCATCATCAGATGGAGGGGACACGGTCTGCTCTAGATCTCCAAGACTCAAGTCTGCCTTGCCGACGTCGTCTTCGTCTTCCGCAGGGCCCGGTTGACCCTCCTTGTCCGCCTCTGAGGCCTCGCCATTTGTCTTGGCAACCTCTTTTGTGGTGTCAACTTCTTTTTCATCCTCCTTTGTGATAAAAGAGATTATTACTTTCTGCGAATGTAAAATCGGAAGAGGAATTTCTTCCGTGGTTGCGGTAGCATTCACTGTAACTCCAGAACCCATCGTCAAATCTATACTTCAATTCATTTAACTTCCAAGATTCTACTTTCTTGGTTTTTGTTTGTTTGTTTGTTTGTTTTTTTTGCAGATCGAAAACATCTAAATGGCTTTTATAATAGCAAAATCTCATAATTTCTTTGAAATTGTTAACACTGTCGTAGCTTTTCCTACCCTTGAATTAAAAAAAATGCACTTTGTCTTTGTGGTAGAGGGATTGAACACCGAGGAGGGAAGATGGTGTTAATGGTTCATTCTATAAATTTGGGGTCCACTGATTTCCCCATCCCTGTTACATCCGACATCTATGATTTTATAATTCCGATGCATTCAGTTTCTAATGTTTGTTTTTTTGGATACTATTGTATACAAATAGCAATAAACCAAATAAAATCAATGCAGTCCTCCTCCAGATTACATGTATGAATAGCAAACTACCTACCCAACAAATAAAACAATTGTTTGAAGTCATTCTTAGGTAACAGAGACAGGAAAAATGTCACACTTTGGACCCTAACAATATAGAACGAACCATACACAACACCCCACTTCAATTACAACAACTTGATTCCATCTCTTCTCTTCAGCAACAAGGAGAGAATTTCCCCAAATCCATATAATCTCAATCCAAAGCGCACACAAAAATAATTTCAACTATTTTTTTAAAACTTAAATACAAAAAGCAATAAACATTTCACAAATTTGGCTTGCAGAAAACACAAAACAATCTACTTAGCGCACAAATAATAACTTGCATCAACAGTTTAAATCAATCCCCTTAAAAGCTAAAAACAAAAACAAGTGTACATATGAAAAACAGAAATCAAATTTAATAAAATAAAAATATGTCCACATCGGTAACGCAACATGAATGTTTTGGCAACATAAGCAGTGCAATTCTTTACAGCACACACATACAGCTGGCAATTACAGAGAAACTTTCTTTTCAAATGAAAATTGTTATCTTTAAACCGTCAAACAACAAAGCAATAAAATTAACTGAAAAGTGCAATTCACACCAAAAAACGAAGAACATTTGTCTCACAATCAGCCAAAGAGACATACCCTTTTCTGGCTAACCAATTGCTCAATTTCGGTGACAGGGTCTGGTCCCATGCCAGCCACATCGGGTGTGGGGCCAAGGGACAGAAGTGACTAAGGTATGGGTGGTGGATGAGAGAGGAGATGACAAAGAGACGGGGTATCAGACTATGAACAGGTCATATTATGAGGCGTTCTGGCAAAATGAGACAGAACTGGGCAGAGGTCCAAATGAGGGTTTGCGGGTATTAGGAAAGAGAATACAATTCTCCTTACAGTACCGTTTGTTGCACTTCAATTAGGCATTCCGTTGACAAGTTTTTGCCTCTGAAGATCTTGTTAAGATCGGAACGTCAGGCCGCCTTAATTTTTTTGACAATTATTGCTGTTTGAAGTTCGCATTATTCAACATGTCAAAAAAGTAAAACACTGAGAAAAAGGCCTTTGAATTTTCAAGTTTTGTAGACTTGAAAATCAAAGATGCCAATGATTTTCTTCTAAGAAACACTTTTATTCCATGATATTTTACTATTTCTTTAAAATTTGTGTAGTAGATTTACCGGTATCAAAGATTGCAAATATCAATAAAGCTAAAAATCGAAAAAGAAAAATATCCCCGATTTTTTTTTTTTTTTCATCACTAAAAGCCTTTGCCTAGTTCAGTCTCATTTTCGCCAGAATGCCGCACATATCAGCAACTTGTCACAAATCGGAGGCATATTCTGTGAACAAAATTGTAAGTCTAAACACTGCAGCTTGTTGTGTATAAAAACTCTGTGAAGCAACCACGGAAACTGCACCGTGGCTGACTCATAAGGGCACATGAAGGACCCAACACATAAAATAACCTTATTCAAGTATCTGAAAAGTGCAGAGCCAAGTTTCATAAAAATATGTGCAAGAGCTGAAACATCTGAGTGTGGGCCTGAGCACGAGCACGCGCACAAGGCAAGGCGCAACTTTGCATGGAGGCCTTAGACAGCTCGTAAAATACAATATGGACTGGGACACCATATAATTTCAGCATCAAAGTTCCAACCTTGAGTTTGCATTTCCCCATTTTAGTGAGGTCATAAGGCGACTGAGATAATGTGCTCCTACGTATTTAAAGACACCTGCTGAATTTGCTTCTAGTAATCCAGACTCTTAGAGTGGTACAGTTTGTGAGAGCCCTGAGAGAGCAAAATTGGAAAACTCCTAGAATGTTGGTTCATCAGCTGATCAGGGGTAATCAAATGACCAGCAGTTAATATGACAATGTCTCTCCAGTAAATCAGGGCTAAAAAGACGACAAAATCCAACTTGACTTTTACCTCTCGTCCGTCTTCCTTCTCTGAGGAGGTGGTGCGAGTGATCAGAGTGGAGTGGTTCTGTAGCTCCATGGGTGGAGGTAACGGTACCGCCTCAATCGGTTCCAGATTGTCCTCGTCATCGACTGGCGATTCGGGAGGGACCGTGGTCGGGGAGGAGCGGGGTGCTAGGAGGTCCTCTTGGCTCACGGCTGATACACGCTCCTGAAGAGACGAGGGGGAAACAATGAATTGAATTTGAGTGAGAGAGCTAGTAATGAGGTTGGTCATACGACTTGCCATTCTAGCGGGTAGTGGAGGTTTGCGGGCAGGGAGGGATTGACGTCAATGTTATGCATGCAAATTTATTCCGAAAGCTTTTTTCGTTTTACAAAGAGGGATGCAAAGGGGCATTTTTTTATTCCTTTTACAGAGGTGGTATATCATTTTGTTGAATGTGGGTGTCTCTGCTAGGCTAGCTTACCCAAAGTGTAGTTTTTCATTCTATTTGGGATCTGATATGTTTATTAACATTGCAAAATCGTTTTGTTTTAAAATGTAAAAATCAAAATGTAGATAAAATATCAGCCTGCCATCTTCCATACACACATGCACGGATTGTATCTTGAAGATGAATAAGCGTCCGTTAGATTTTATCTCAGGAGTGAATAATAATAAATAATGATTATCACGCATTGAGGCAGTGAACCGCAAAATGCACTTATAACAGGCAGCTTTAGGATGTATCAAGTGAGGAAATTTGAATGACGGCTCAAAGTGAGACGTCGGAAGCCAGCACAGATCGTGCTTAGTCCGATGCTGAATATCCACGTCCATTTTTGGCACTGCATCCGGTCAAACCCTTCAAGATCATCCACTTCATTTTTGTTGTTTTAACATTTAGAATTTACACAAATTCTTGAACATGCACATTTTTGAAAGGACAAGTGTTTGGCTTGAATCTGATCGTGCACAAGCAGGAAGCATGCAATGATTGCCTATCTAGATGCAGCTAGTTATGACCACAAAACTCAACCCTGATATTTAACTACCACGACAGCCCACTTAAACCCGAGACCAAGTACCAGCAATGATGATGAAACTGCTATGATTTTTTTAGGGGGATGATATCAACAATTGAAAATCATAAATCTTCAAAAATATAGAGGAAAAATCTGTCCAAATTGCCGGAAACTACAGGGATAACAATCAGCTGGTACTAATTTGGACAAAAACCAAACACTTTCTTGGCCCATAAACAGCATGTGCAATCAAATATTCATGTGAAAAATTATTACAACACAAATACAGAAATCACCAAAACAAAAATGTCAACCACACATTGCCCATTGTATGTACCTGCACATTTATGCTCGCAAACATTTTATGACAAAAACTTGTCACAAAATAGAATACCATTGCCACTGTTATATTAAGTTTGCCAGTTGCTTGACCCAGATGAAATGTTTTACCTCTGTTACCAAAATACAAGAGCTATTTTGAAGACTAACTACAAATGTGTTTTGCAATTTTGTAAATTGAACAGCTTTGTTTCAGAAACCACTGAATCAACATATCATGGAATCTCACACACGTATTACATTCACAATAGCTAAAGACAAACCCGCAATTTACCCACGCATGCAAAACAGACATGAAGCCACAAAATGCTGGTGGGAGGGAGGATTGTGGAACTTGCATAGGTGTCAAAAACGGTGAATAAAAATGTGCATATGTACATGTGAACGACGGCTTGGTCCACTCACGTCTTCCAACAAATCCTCTCCAGCAGCTAGGGGCGGGTCCTCTTTCAGAGGCTCCTCCTCATTGGCTTCATCACCAATGTGTTGCTATGGGAGGGGCATAATATGCAAATGATTTCATACACTGGAACTTTCACAATATGCAACAAATGTTTGTCATTCATCCAAGACTTCTTGTGTGGGTTGGGCAGGATATGCAAATTGTAAAGCGATCACTAGTTTGTTTTTATGGGCGGAGTTAATATGCAAATGCACCATTCATCCAAAATTCAAAACTACTTATTACAGGAGGTCCATAATATGCAAATGAGTAATGAAGTGCACCCGAAGTGTTTTTGTAGCATACATGTATAAATTTACATTTATAATACGAGAACTAAAAGATGAAGACTGCAATTTCAAATCTATATTCAAGTACATTGATATTCAGAGGAAAGTGAGTTTTAATCGGCCTGTTTAAAAAGCTAGAACAAATTTCCAAGGGAGGAAACAGGATGAGGGAGAAGAAAGAAGTGGGGGAAGAGGGATGAAGGGTTATTGGAAATAGTGGATAGTGATAGTGACAGGAGAAGTGGGTGTCTTAATGTAATAAGTGTTGGGCTACACTACGTTTTAATCTAAGATTACCTTAAGGCAGAATTAAAGTGTTTGCAACATGGAGCATGTGAAGAGATACCCAACAGTAAACAACTTGGTTTGGTGATTAGGTATTAGGCATCACTAAGCAAATAATTATGTCATTAAAACACTAACACTTTAAAATGATGTAAAACTGTAGGAAGAAACTGATATAGCTGCATGGAATCGAATCAGTTTGAACCTAGAGGCTCTGTGCATGATCGTATGAGGGCAGTGTGTGTAGCATAGGAATAAGAGCTGGTTCCTGACTCCTCTATTACATTAAAGACATTGAAAGGAAAAAAGGGTGGGGGCCAGCCCAAAATATATCACAACACTGGTTAATCCACTGGGTTGTATGCACACCAAAAAAAACCACATTGTTACGTAAAAAGGTACCCTGTACATTTGGCATCATATATTAAACCTTTTTTTTTCATGGAAGAATTGCCCGCGCAGGGAGCCAATAGCAGCACTCCTCAGGTCACATGATCAATATTATGTCGCTTCCAAAAAAGCCTCAAGTCAGAACCTTTTACAACTGCTTTCAGATGATTGACAAGATACTGTAACTCATTTTCCCGAAAAATCAAAATCCTACCATCAGATAAAAAATCTTGAGGCCTGGACGTTAACCGAGACACAGTATGTAACAGCACTTTAAAGTGGTTGTACTTGGTATGCGCAGAATTAAAATTGAAAAGTGAGATGATTCAAGGTGCTGCCAGAATATTTATTCATGATACTCCGTCGACAGTTCAGGTAATTAATGCCTCAATTAAAGAGTCAGTGTTGATGGGCGACAGGTTTGGGTTTCCACTTTTCAGCTGGACATGATCCCTTGACTTCAAAATACGAACCCTGTCAACGTCGTCGCGTGAAGACGGAGAGGTAAAAAATCTCTCGGCTGTATGGGAGATATGATAGAATTTGTATCGTGGCTGATGACAAGCTGAAGTATGTGAGCAATGCAGCGTCGGTCACGGTAGTAAAAGAAACGGATCCTAAGAATAGACCCCCATCGGGAATACATTATCCAACGTTGTGAGATACCTTAAGGCGAATTTCTAACTGTCAAATTCATGACGAAGTGCGGGGTTGCATTAAGACAGGTAGTCTGGTACCCTGACTTACTTGCATGCCTTACATGCAGACCCACAACACGGGTCCATTTCATAATCATGCCGCTTGACTGTTTTTTTAACATCACCTACGTGTTTTAAATTATGCCATCAACTACACGTTCCACAGGCACAGTGGGAAATGATTAATTAAAACCTTCCCTAAAATGCACTAAATCTCACTAGTAAATACAGTGACAAATGTACAAACTCATCTCATATTGAAAGAGTATATTGTCAGTTAGTCTGTGCATGCAGTAACAAGTGCAGCCAGAGCAGGTGAAAGAAAAACAACAGTTAGAAAAAAACCTATTTTACCCCGACCCCTTCCTCTAACCAATTCCAAGTTTTTTTTCTTGTAGCTAGCCTATCCCACTCTTTCCCATCGATGATCTTTCATCAACTTAATACAGGCAAACATCCAGGTGAACAACATGCTAGACCATGTGAGCCACTCTGATTATTCCTCCCGAGGCCAATTAAGAAACGGGATGGTCGCCACGACAACCGATGATGTCACACACTGTGTTTTTGTGTGCAGCATTCGATCAAAACTAACTAGCACTGGGGGGACCCGACACAGACCTGATATACCGCTCTGCATTGTAAACAAGCTACCTTAAGAAAAAGGGGGAGGAGGGATAACATGTTGATTCCATCTGTAGGAGAAATATAATTGCATCATTTCGGGAATGTCTTTATGTAAGTAAATTACGCTTACCACTTTTCAGGCCAAACAGTCTACGTTCAAACCCCAATGATTTCAGTCCGTTACACACACGTGTTTGAGAAAGGCATGTCTTTTCAAATAAGTCCCACAAGATTTAGGAAATTACTTGCTTTGAATCTGAGGTGATGCCGGAAACAGAATATTAAAAAAAGATCTTTCACATGAATACGGATCATTCAATAAACTTTGGGTCTGTTTTTCCCCGCCTGTCCCTGTTACATCTAATGTTAGCTTGATTCTATAACTCTGATGCATTCCTTAATGCATTCATTCTCCAAGAGTGATTATAAATAGCAAACTGAGTCATTCTTAATGATACTTGAATGGCAAAATACAAAGTACCAAGAGAAAGTAACATGTCACACTTTGGACCCTAAATTTATAGCACGACCCATATCGTGTTTAACATTACCTCCTACAAGCAACACAATTTTAAAACTTGAAAAAAGTAAGAAACTAGGAAAGATCAATGTTAAGATGAACATCTGGACCAGATTGAAAATATTCCGCTCTAATGTTCCCTGCCAGTCCTTCAAGCTAAATAACCTACGAAAATAAAAGACCAGAATTTGTATTGATATAAGCTGTCAATTAGAAAAGCTATACATTTCCCCCCGCTCCCTGATATATTCTTCCACATGACAAGACCCGAACCATATATAAGTCAGCTACTTGACTGCAATTACATTGCCGACCTGTATTCGCAGCACGCAAGCACACTCCTACAGAGTCTAGAGTCAGGCTGGAAGAAGAAGGAAAAAACAGAATCCCCTTGAAGATTAATTATGCGACGCGTGGCCGAATGTCGCACCAGGGTGCAACCCGCAGCTGCCTAGACTGTTCCTGTTATTCCACTCCCCCCCCCCCCCCCCCCCCCGTTGCCATGACGTCATTTATGCTCCGGGCTACACTCTGCATCCGAGGTCCACGAGAGGCATGACAAGGGGTGTGCAATGAACGACACTTTCAAAAATACATCAGCAGAAAAATATTGACGATTACACAATGATGACAAATGGGAGTTGGACTGGCGATAAATAAAACCGCAGTAGTTCATACTCCACATATGTCTCGTCTGAGATTCAGTTTTGTTTCTGAAGTTGGTTTTAATCACAGCCGGCTCAACAACAAACCAAAAACCCTCTCAAGTAACAGCTTGTAAGAAATATTGATAAATGAACTTTGGATGACAACGTGTGTCTCTTTTTTTTTATTCATGAATGTGTATTTGAAAGGACAATGTAAGAAAAGCTCAAGCACAACAGATCTTCCCATTACAGAGACACTCTATAAAACTGGCCATTACATAGGGTTTTCACAAAAATCGTGAAACATTTTGGAAGCTGTGTCCTAAAAAAATAGAAAATTGTTGAAGACAGTAGACCACTTTCAAGTTCCATAAGTCAAGAGAGAACATTATACTCCCTTCTTTTCCACACAGATCCAATGATTCATTTATTTGAACACGCACGTTAACATCACAGACAACTGCACTCTGCGACGATAAAAAAAACAAGAACCTCAGAAAGTAAGTCAATCGATCGCATTGCGTTACATTCCCCTCACAGTGTGCGAGTGGACGGGCGGCAGGGTCGAAATTAGAATCCCAGACCAATAAGGTGCAGGCGGAGAAACAGGCAGCTTGATTAGGCAAACAGCTGATGGAACGCCTGTCGCCTTTTCGAGTGCACAAAGCTTCAATCATGTCTAGCTAGTAATGTCTATTTGCTAAATTGGCCCGACTTCTGCTTAGCAGAAACTACTGCTTATCAAATTTAAGAGCTAAGCAAAAATAAGCTGAGCACCAGTTACGCGTAATACAAATCACATGGAACTTTAACTGGTAACCTGTTTTTGCTAAGCAGATATGTTTTGCGCTTAGCATATTTCTGTGCTTAGCATATTTCTGTGCTTGGCAGTTCTACCAATAAACACTGCATAAGCTGTGTTCGCATTGGACTTTTTGGGGTAAAACGTACCGAGACTGTTGTCAACTTGACCAAATTAAGCCCAGTGCGGACAGCCGGTAAACTTTCCAAATTGTTAAGTGTCGATCGTCGGTTGTTAGTTTATCCCTCCACAGCGGGAAGTTTAACAGGGCCAACCGGGTCGGGGAAAGAGCTACATTGTCAGTTTTATGTCGCTGAAAAATCCTGTGCAGTAAGCCGCTGCAATGTACAACATGCATTTTGATGACGTGGTTTATGGCCAAGGACTTTCCGCGGGCCGTAAGTAATCCAAATGCAAATGCACGGCAGAATAACCACAGTGGAATGTTAACAATCACTCATGGTGAATTTTTTACAATAGTTAGTCCAATGCAAACGCGGCTATAGTCTTTTGGCTGTCAACTTGTCTTATCACTTGTATTACATTGTACTACACTGTATTTACTCCTTGATTACCATAGCTTGCTGGGGAGGTTTGGGGCGGTAAAAGGAGTAACAGGTAGGGCGCTTTGGAGGGGTACAGGGACTTATGGTTAATTTTTTTTTTGGTGCTTAGCAAAGGTACTATGATTGGCCACTGCTCCAAAGGCAAGTTGATGGAGGATGGGAAAAGGGAGGGGGGGGGGGGAACGGTGGTAAAGGATGTTGCAGATCAGCCCAATTGCAGGAGCTGCAATGCACTCAATATTCCTTAGAAAAATGTATGTGATTTGGAAATATCAGCCAAGAATCGCTCACTGAAAAAAATATATATACAGAGTAACCTTGACAGTGCTCGATTTCTCAAGCTGCTCCTGATTCAAGAGCCAAGTCAAGAAAAAAAAGGAACCAAACAAATATTCCTGACAGATGATTTTGTCATCAAACTATGAATCACTTCAACTTAATGAAAGATGCTTCCAACTGAAAAGAAAGAAAACAATAACCCGCGGATCTTCAGCTAAAGGGAGTACATAAATCTGGAACGAATAGAACCGGGGATTTAAAATCAATTCAGAGTATATCTTTTCAAGAAACCTGATTGTTTTTTTATTCTATGTGTTGATGGACATTTTGGACATTCTAGCATTGGTAACACAACTTAACAAAGTAATTTGTGGTTCTCTTTAAAAGAAATAAATAAAACACAATGAACTCAATTGTTCGTTTGCTTCCAAAGTGTTATTACACTTACGTAATTTTTTTTCTTGATTGGAGACGTGATAAAAATAATAATTGACTTGGAGACTTGTTTTTATTATTCGGCTAAGATTTGCAACAACAAAAAAACAATACAGAGAATATGACTGGTGATGTTCAGTGTAAAAACAATCTGCATGATAACACTGGCAAACATGTCACAGACTTTTTCGCCACGACAAAAGGCCGCAATTTCTTTTCTCAGAAAGGAGGCACTTCATGTTGTTGTCGCCGCCACACTGTGCCAATGGGGTATGCAATTTGTCCGAATGTGTGCAACAACAATCGGGGATTGGGGTTGGAATAATTTCAACATCTTTGGAATTCCTGGGCTGCAGGTCCTGTCTCATCAATAACAATGACGCACGACATCTGAGAGATTAGATGGATGTCGGGCAGATGTAGGGACTGCTCTCCTAAGCTATTCTTTCCTTTTGGGGGACGCTTACACTACTTCGGTTTCGCTAACACTAATTGATTCTTACTAAAAAAACCTGGACAAATTATTTCAGAAACATGGGCATCTAGCCAAGAGCTTTCAAGGTGCCAAGCGGGACATGAAGTTAAAATTTGTATTTGATAATAGCTAGGTTTTTGTGTTTCTCATAACAAATAATTACATTTGGGGAAATTTTAAAATAATTTTTAGCAAGTTTTAAGGCTTTGAGTTTTCCTTGCAAGAGTTTTTTCCATTACTAAGTCCAAATAATTGTTAGCAAATTTTAAAGGCTTTGAGTTTTCCTTGCAAGATTTTTTTTTCCATTACTAAGTCCCATCGAATAAATCTGTGAATCCACGGAGGAATAAAAAATAATTTAAAAAATCAGCACCTCTCGCAATGATAACACAGGATCAAATTAAGGTCATGTGATCACGTTCCCTCTTAACAATAGACAGAAGAATTCAAAGTGGGGTCAGCCCGTTTGTAAAACTTTTTAGAAGAATTTTGATTAGCGTCCAATCAATTACTACCCCTCCGGCAAGTCATTATTGAAAACGGAGAAAGTTGTTTTATGAGACCCCCTCCCTCTTTCTGAGGTCGTGACCCTTGAGGTATTGGCCATCAATGTCAAGACTTGGTCAGACAAGAGATCCTGTCTGTGTTCTAGCAAGTGATAAAGAGTGTTATGACAGTGTACTGACCCCATTAAATACAATAATGGGCTGCTGACAGCCGACAAGACATTAGCATTAGGACTCATACAAGGGGTGAACTGTAGTTTATCATCCGGCAATCTGAACATTTTTATATAGGTCAGCACTTATTTCTGTCTTATTTTTGACATGAATTCACGATAAATCCTAGTCATGTGGTGAAGGAGACATGAAAACATGTTGTGATGCAGGCCAGTTCCCTGATCACAGACTGGGGGGGGGGGGGGGGTCGTTCAAATCCCAAAGTGGAACTTGTTATATGAGAGTGCGGAGCGTGTAGCCCTTACGGTGTGGGGTCCGGGGCCCGCTGAAGGGCCCCAGCAAATTTTGGATTCTAGATGCTCTGTGGTGCAATCTGAGGCATTTCCTGGCCCTTTTCCCCTGACTCTTTCAATCAAATTTGCTCGTGTTTACAACTTGAAGGTGAGATTTTTAGGGGGATGGGGGTGGGCCATCAAAAGAAGATTATTTGAAAAAAAAATTCTGAGTGAAACTCGCCACCGAGCATATGGGCAAGTGATGTGGGGTGCAACCATTAAAATCTTCATTACTATGACTTCTACATGTTTGAAAGCTAGTCCTTTCAGTGATGTCATTCACTAGGAATGCAACTGTTAAGTCACACACAAAAAATATGTCATTCCAAGACTTTTGAAGACTTCTGTACAGTGTTTTTCAAATTTCTAATGACAGACACGGGTTATTTCAACATATTGCCAGGGTATGCCATCATTCTTAGAATAAAAAAGGAACATTTGGATAATGTCACAACCTTCAGAGCTTGTGTGTGGGAGATACGACTTGCCGTAGCTATGGCGACTTTGTGAGAAGAAAAGACAGTGTTCGAAGACTAGGAGCAAACCGATACAAAAAAAACCCATTGAAAACAATTCAAACATGTTTTTGGTCACTGTAATGTTGTACATTTGATTTTTTTAGATTAAATGAAGGGAAAAATTTGGATTAGGAAAGAACAACATGATCAGCAAGCTTGTGGCAGGTAGGGAGAATAAATTATTCTAATGGATTCCTAATTAAAAAAAAGAATCAACTGAAAAGGGACTTGAGATATCTATGGTAAAGTTAAAATTCAAGTTAATCAACTTGAAGAATTGTAAAAGGAGTCCTGTCACTCTGTGGCAAATGGTTAAAGATGCATACGCCAAAAATAAGTGTGGCTGTGCTATATTTCCTGCAATGCGTATGAACAGCTGCATTGTGAATTTCTAACACATCAAAGGGACTGTCTTTATTAAGAACCGGCAAGGCCAGAGTCTAGCAATAAGAAAATCCCATATGCACATGATGAAATCTGTCCCACCGAAAGCAGCGATTAGCCAAGCCGCAAGGCAGGCAGCCAGCAGCCAGCCAGCCACCAAGCCAGCCTGCTACGCTTGACCACAGTTATTAACCTCATTACCATTTACAAATATTACTACACAGCAGAGTATATCACAAGGCCCTCCACACAGTATATGATGCAGACAGAACTATTTCAACATAACTGGCACGTGAGTCTGACTAAGTCTGCATTCCTGACTTCTTATTCACCAACTGGCAAATTTGCTCAGGAATCTAGCGATGACACAGTTTTTCCAACTTTCACTCGGGAGGTTATACACTGACTACACGGTGTTTATACGTCGGTGAAGGGCAAAACCTGATATTGATTTTCATCACCCCGATGCAAAATTCCATCTTATGAACTAAATGACAAAGTCGCCTCCGTTCAGCTGAAATATAATAGTCCGGTAACATACCATTCACCAACAAACCAAAGTCAGTACAGAGGAGTTTCCATCAAGAAGTGAATGAAGGCCATAAGGGGGAAATGGAGGAATGTAGTTTAGAGATACAGTGAAATCTCCATAAGTCAAACCTCAAGAGAACAGGTTCAAAATTTGACTTAAGCCTGGTTCATACTTCATGTGAATACGAAGTGAATTTGACGTCAAGAAACATTCGCTGCGAAATTCGCCCGAGTTGAAATATGCTCAACTTTTACAAATTCGCAGCGTGAATACTTGCCATAACGTCACAAATTCGCGTTTGCTTTCGCTTCCACGCAGAGTATGAACCGGGCTTCAAGCAGAGTTAAGCAGGGTTGCATATCATTGTTATACTACTAAAGGGAATGGATTCTTTGTTTGACTTGACAGTTGTTTTGAGTTATCAGAGTTTGACTTATGGAGATTTCACTGTACACCTATAACAAGCCAAGGCAAGCCCAGTAAAGTTGATCACAGAGTGCACAAAATTCTTATTAATGGATTCATAATGGCTATTGACTGGAAGTCTTTTCATGCATGTGGTCTACACAATGGGTCGGATTTAGCTCATTCATTGACATTTTAGGGTAATCCTATACGAGAGCACTGCCTGCCACACAACTGACAGTCAGTCAGTGAGTGACTCGGTGAGTCAGCCAGTGAGTTAGGTCAAACCATCAGGACTCTAGCCTGAAGAAAACACAATCAATTATGTATCGAGTTCAGTCTGACAGCTTCTGAGGATTAGCCTCTGTTGATGATCAATCAGTGAGGCTGAAATCAAGACTATCAGCTTGTAATGGATTCATTTGTTAATAACGATGTGTGTTGATTGGCATGATACACGCTGGTTGGACTACATTCTAAAACAGAAGCAACACAACTTGCTGCTAACTGCCATGGTTATCCAGTTACCCTTGACTGCCAGTCAATGATATAACCCCAGCTTAACCACTAAAACTTAACTAGTTATGATATCCTGCTTTAATGACAGTAAACCTAACTAGTTATCTGGTAAGATCCTTACCGTAACTGCCAAGTCGTCGTGGAGTTTCCTCCCTTTTGAGCCGTCGATTCTCTCCAACTGTTTAGTGCTCAATTTTCTGACGGGGCTGGTTAACCACTTCCTAAACATGACGAGAACACAAAGATCAAGCTTCAAAAAGGATGGAAAAATGGCGGTCTCCGATCACTCTGATGACAAGTTGTGGGTAAAAGTCTGCATGGGTCGGTCTGTGGCCATATCCAGAAAAAATGATAGATGTTCATTTCCTTAATGGATCTGCCATGTACAAGGAAACACACGCACGTGTCGCAGCCCAATGCTATTTGGTCAATGGGTGCAACTAGACTCCAAGCTCATCATCTGTTGAATTCCACTGATAATGCGACAACGGCTTTTGGTGAATGACTACCGGATCTGTGCCCTCAACTGTTCCGGGCTGCAGTATCTTATATCTCCGTGCTTGAGCGTGTTAACTTGCACGCATTCGGGATCATGTTCATTAGTGTTCAGCCACTTCCTATTTGTATCTTTTTACAGCTTCACTGTTTGGGAAGTCGATTCTGCCAATGTCGTGGGTTTAGAAGGTCACGGCCGGCTAATTTTCAGGAAACCACTGCTCAGGGAATCACTGATTCTGTCAATAATCTCCCCTGGGTGGAACACAACATTGCTGCCCACTGATTTCCTTGAATAACTGGCAGTTCAAGCACATCTGTACATCACTAAATGTAAACACTATGCAGCAACAAAGACCAAAAAAAATTGGGCTCAAATCGCAAAAAAAAAAATTCTCAGAGCGATGGATATTTTTAGAAGCCCTAGGGTCGGTCATGCAAATAAGAAAAAAATCTCATCGAGAAACTTCGATGGCGTGGGTTCTTCCGAACATCTATCAGTAGATTTTTTTTTTTTTTTTTTTTTTTTTGAAGCTTCGTATTAGCTTAATGCCAATGCATGACGCACCAACAACGGCGAGTGCCAATCACTTGGGGAAATCAAGACGACGTTGTTGCTGTATTACGATTAGCTGCATCATCATCGTCACCTAGGTTTCCTGAAAGGCCAGACATCTTATAAGAGCAAAAAAAAAAAATTCAAAAAAATACCACTTTTCATTATTTTCAAACCAGTTTCAACCAGTCTGTAAAGACACATGCGTTCATATGGGAAAAACAGTAGTCAAACACTGTGTTGGTGAGTCCGTGGGTAAATGTTATTGCTTTCCGAGGTTTGCATATTTGCATGTCATTTTTTCCACTTAAAATGTCTGCAGTCGGCTTTCTGAAGCGGGAAATGTCAAGGAGAGGTTCTTGCGATTTTGAGGTGTTTCTCAGAAAACATGTGATAAGTCATTTGGCGCCTTTTGCCTTAGAACTCAAGGATGACTTTTTTTCCCCCCAAGACCAAGGACACGTGATAAAGAGACAGATAATGAGTACTCACTTGATGCTGCCTTTCCGCTTGGGTATAGGATGGTCGTTGTTGTTGATTGGCAAGGTATTGTTGGCTGGTCCCGCCTCTAGATCTGCGGTAACCAAAAAATGAATAGGAAGAAACCAAAACTTTAGTCAAGAAACAAGACGTGCACACACTGTACAAAACTATTCCAAGAACTTAGGCTGCATCATTGTATCATCAATCAAATTGTTTTCGACTTAATTAACACTGAATTCTTTAAATGCATTCTCTCCATACCCCTTCAGTGAGTCATTATCATTCTTTCCGAATGCATCGATTGATTCATGTTTTAGCAATTCATGTTTCGTAACTACCGGTGAATCTTGAACTATCACCATTATAAACCCTAAAATAGTAATCACCATCAACATCATCATCGTTATCTATCATTGTCTATTTCACACCCCCAATGTTCCCCTATTCCCATCTTTATCCATGAGCCTCTCAAGATTCTCTGGCTGCCTCTCCCGCGTCCTTTCTTGCCCCTGTCTCCTCAACACTTCTCTCCTCTGCAAATTTTCCCCTCTCTAACTTGAACTCCTTTTCCATCATGTCTCCATCCACAAACTTATTGCAACTTTCTATTTCAATCTCATAAATACCCTCCGTTATTAGTTCATTTTCTACATCTGTATTTCATCCATCTCACTCACTGTATCTCATCCATTTTCCTTTTCAATTCACCGTAGTAACTTCCTTACGTGGTCTAAAATTCCAGACGATCAGAAAAAAGTTCCTTATAAGGGACTCCTTTGAGCGGTGACCGATATCATATTGTAACAGCAGAAGTTGAGTTAATGTACCGCCAATAACAGTCTCAGGTATTAGTAAGCAGTAGGTCATGGTCTCAAGTCCATTTAGGCTTTAAAGATTTTCCTTGTGCAAGGGCTCTTGTAAAGCACTGACTTTGAAGTAATTATAAAAATTACATTAGTGCAGTGTTGTAGTCGAGTACCTTTTTCCGAGTAACGAGTACTGCCGAGCACTTAGGTTGCCGAGTACGAGTACAAGTACTTGTACCTCGGAGTACAAGTATAGGTCTCCCAGTACGAGTACTTGTACTTCTGAGTACGAGTACGAGTACTTCCGAGTATGAGTACTCTTCCAAGTATGAGTACTCTTCCAAGTACGAGTACTTGTATTTCCGAATATGGCCATGTGGCAAATGGTTCATTGTGCGTAATTGGCCCAGGCCCAGTTAGACCGATATACAGACCTGCAGCTAGCTGTTAGATTTGTTTGTCCAGACGTGCACAGAGGGAAATCAGGAAACTTTGATTTCTCCACAAGCCAATCAACCATTTCAAACTGAAAGTACTGTATCGATAAAATAAAGGCCATGGTAAGTCAAGTTATAGCATTTTTTCCTCGAGTACTGCTATTCGAGTACGAGTACTTTGATGATCGAGTACAATTTCGACATGTTGAGTACGAGTACTTTGCTGCCCAAGTACAAGTACCGTTATTTCAAGTACGAGTACTTTGAGATTCGAGTACGAGTATGAGTATGAGTACTTTGACATTCGAGTACGAGTATGAGTACTTTGACACTCAAGTACAAGTACAAGTACGAGTACTCCAAAAGAAGTACTCGAGTACGAGTACCGAGTACGGGTACTACAACACCGCATTAGTGTTGCAAAACCCAATATTTAAAAACCTGTACTGTCCAAGTCCAACTCATTAAAATACCACAACCTGAGGTTTGTAACATTTATAAATATGTACAAGTTTGTCTTCTTTGACTAAGAGAAACAAATATTGTACCATGCTGCTCCACAGGGCCTAGTTGTTGATTTTTAAATTTCTTCCAATGAAGACTCCAACTTATTACTCAGTCTTTGTACACGTACAGTATAATGTCTCTATATTGATTGTATGAGTATAGTAGCCATTCATTCCAGTGATTTTCAGTCGCAAATGCTGCGAATAAATGTATATACAATTTGGGAGCTGATGGGGATGTTCGTTACAACCAAATGCTCAGTATAAAAAACATACTAATACCAGTCGACACTTCTATCATTTCAAACTTTCTACCCTATCCTGCTCTTAAAATTCACTACGTCAATCGTCGCTCGGAGGGTGAATACTTGCGCCCGGTTTCCTGAACTGAACTATCAGGAAACGTCATTAAACATTCTAATTCTGGCATTGGTCTGCGGTCATTGACGGTTTAATGTCCTTGTTGTTGCGCATTGTGAAGTGCAAGCACCCCAACCCGTGGCCAGACTGACCATATACACGTACATAAATAATCACACCAACAGTGGTACACATGAAGGGTGTTTTTAAAAGTCATGGTCAGGCACTTTCACCTTGGAATTTTACTTAGAGGCCTTCTATACACAATGGTCTGACATTTACGAGACTAAGGGCCACAAATCCAAGACAGAATTCCCACACTCAAACAAATAGGCTGGCCTCTAAAATTATCAGACAAATATACAAAAAGGAGTACAGTAAGATGGAGCTCTAAATCTCAAGGAACTACCCATGGTAGTGATGCCATCTTGTCAGTAACAGTCACGTGATCTCTTGGAGACTTATTGGAACAAGAGGGTGTAGTCATTGTGCCCAACTTGGAACAAACTTGGGAAAATCCCCTATAGCTAGTGGTTCTTCTGAGAACTGGTTCTTCTAAGAACCACAAAAATTAATGACCAAGAGCTTTTGCAGGGTGGTCAAGTGAACTTTCTTATTTTTGCCATACTTTGCAAAATTTTGAAGGGAAGTAGTCTTAGACTGCAGTAGAACCAAATTGTTCAAATGATGGCAAATTAAATTCATGAAAAGTTCAGCATTTGAAACAGATCGACTGTGAGGAAAGACTCCACAAGTATATTCTATTCGGGTCAACCTGAGTTGCTCCTCATTGCATTTGATTCACAGTGACTCCGGAACATCAGTCTGAAATGGGTGTTGGGGCTCTTCCCCCGCTTTCCGCAGCTTTCTTGAAGAAACGAGAGAACAGTTTAAGGAAGACCCACAAAGTTTTTTCCAGGAAATATGGAGGCTGGGGCAAGATCCTTGATGATTTGGGCAAGAGAGATGACACGATGATGTCCCGAAAGAACCAAAATCTCACATCTGAATGTCCGAAACAAACATGGAATATCTCCTGATGACGAGCAGAGCATACTGTTCGAAATGTCGAGTTAGACCAACTGGTTCTTCTCAGAACCACACAACTCACTAAGAGATATTATTCATTCACATGGGGTTACTGCAAACTTCCACTCATGGAATATCTCATGCTAATGCCTCCATTGGATGATCATCATAACTAAGAGTGGCTACATCGCATTATTTCCATTGGCTAATGAATCTTTAATTCATTATCATTGAAGCTAAAAAAATGCAAAAACTGACACACAAAATAATGTCGATCAAAGAAATGGGCTAAGTACAACGATATTTGAAATTCCACAAGACTCGCTAAACCGTCAAGGAAACACTGAATAAATACAACTCCGTCCAGAGGGGGGAAAAAAAGATGAAGTAGGGAAATCAATAATGGTCATCTCCTAAATGAATCTGGTCTGTAAGACATAGCGTTCATTGGCCCAATACAGTAAGACTGTGGCTGAAGCAAGTTACGTGGTGTCCCTCCGCTTTACCCCACAGTGATTTTGATTTCACCGACTGTCTGCGGAAAGACGTCACGGGGGCCGGCCGATGACGCAATTCATGTTGTACAATCCACTTGATCATGACATAGTCGTCTACCTTGTGTCCGATTTCCCCCTACCGTCTGCCTGCTTGCCCACCCACCCGCCTATCCCCCCCCCCCCCCCCCCCCCTACTGGCATGTTCACCACGACTGGCCGCTATTTCACTTCAGGGTGGACCAGAACAGGTAGTCACAATGTATGCGTGTTACCATCAATCACGATCACGCTCATGAATATCATCAAAATGAATAACAGTAACAAATATTAATTTCTTTTCTTTTTTTTCTTTTTTAAATTTTGAAAACAATTATTTCCCCTTTCATGCCAAAATGAAAAGAAAATACAACAATGAAGAGCATGATTAAGGTAAGGAAAGTAACGGTGATATAACTAGGGGTAACATTGTCAATGTCAGACAAAAAAAGTGGAAGGCCTGAAAGTTGCATTTCTTTCTATTGTTAAAAAAATAATACTGATAATGTCTTTCTCCGAGAATAAAAATGTCTGATTTCAGACTAGAGTCTGAAAATGTTCACGCCTGTTTCAAGAGTATAGCTTGTATGAGGTTTGCCATACAGAGGACCGACAAAAATATATGACACAAATAAATAGAACAACGAGGGTAACGTTGACTCTCAGGAGGGCTATTTTGAGCAAACCAGTGGGCAAAGTCTTGCTTTCTGCTTATAACAAACTCACCAAAATTCGAGTCACATCAAGACAATAGACTCTTATTAACGTTTCTCTTTTGTAGGAAGAGAAATTGACAAAGAAAGACCCTTACAACCTTCAAACACTTAAATCATGAAAACTTGGCATGCTATTAACATTTTAAACTTAATTTATTTTGTTTATGGAGATATTTGATGTGTTTCTTGAGAAACCACTACAAGGTTATTCTATTTTAAATAAGATAAGGGATCAATGAAGATTAATAATAAAGATGAATTCAACCGTAACCTCAAACCCTAAAAGAAAATCCTCTTATTGGAAACAATAAAAGCCTTCTGTTTGACTTTCAAAAGATTGAAACCTTTCAGGGATAAACAAAAATTATACCAACAAACTCTTTAACAAATAAAAAAATAAAAAAATAAAATGTGGACACAGCAGGAAGCCTGCAATAAAATGAAACAGACAGTTGATCATACTCATACAAAATAACTTGACATACATGTATTAGCCTTAAACTTAAAAAAACCCAAATTGTTTAATCGACATGATTTACTATTATTGTATTTGTAATAATGCAACCAATAAAACAATCAATGTCATTAAATGCCGATTATGCCCATGCATACACGCCAGTTATACAACTGTGTTGGAATGCTGACCATACATTATGCCCTTCGCGCCCCCATACAACACAGTACTGTACATGAACACACATGTA